ATATTATCTACTCCTTTGAGAGGTAGGTATTACCCTCTTTTCAGAGACAGGGAGAGAGGAGGTCAGACACATTTGAGGGCCACATTGACCAGCAAAGCTTGAGTTTTTGATACACGTTGCAATATAATGTTATGATCAAATACTGGAGGCAGATGAGATTCAAAAATAACCTCTATCACTTACTACTGATTATGACCAGGGCAAGATTATTCATCTTTCTTAAGCTTTATTTTCATTGTTTGTAAATTAATCTTCCATTTGTCCCAAATTTCATTAAACAAATGTTTATGGTTTGCAGTAAACCTGTGTCTGCTATACGAAATGTCTTATGCACTGGAACACTGTAGGCTCATGATAGAATATATTCTTCAAACAAGAAAACAATTCGAGAAAGTGACCAGTACATCCTAAAGAGCTAACAAAAGGTAAATGCTCAGTCACTTCAGTCATGTCCGATTCTTTGCAACATCATGGATCATAGACCACCAGGCTCCTCTGTCCATGGGATTTTCCGAGCAAGAATACTTGACTGGGTTGCCATGCCCTCCTCTGGGAGATCTTCCCAATCCTGGGATGGAACCTAGGTCTCCTTTGTCTCCTGCATTGCAGGTGGATACTTCACCCCCTGAGCTATCAGGGAAGTCCAACAAAAGTTAAGTCTACTTAGCTGCTATTACTACTAGTAGACCAGTACAACTACATACAAAATTTGCGTTTTTAACACTTTTTTCTCTTTGACACTCATGTGTTCATGAAGCAGCTTGAATACACATTTCTAGTCTTTTTCACACACCATGCAACTGTTATTTTCATTTTATTTGCTTACGCAGAGCAGCAGTTGAAAGAAGGAACAGGTAGGCCATAATCGGTGGTTACAAACTGGTACCAAAAGCTTTTCAAAAGATTTAAATTAGTAATGGGGACAGCGTTTTCCTCTTGGTGTGTTCTTTGAGTTCAGTGGAAGCCCCCAACTTACTTATCAGTTTAGCACATATTTATATTTTCTCAAGGGTTTAAACACATTGCACTGCCAACAGCTGACAAACACCAGCAAAAACCTCCAGAGTGTGAGGCAGCTGAACAGGAAACACATCCTCTTTTGCTTCAAATATTTTTACCATGACAATCTGAAAGAACACCGAGCAATTACAATGATGATATATTTATATCTCAGCTGGAATTACACACAGCTCTACAAACCAAAGCAGGAATGAAAGCAAATAGAAGCGTTGACTATCCGCAGGCACAACAATCCTTTCAGGGGTTCTACTTGAAGGCAGGACGCATTTCCGTTACCTCAACTCTGCAGTGCTCAGGCACAGGGCGGCCCTCTCCTCCTCGTCTGGAGCCCCAGTCAGTTCATCCTTCTCACCAGCTGCCTTCATTGGAATATGAACACACTACTCGGTCTTTAACAAGGGGATTATGCCTTGTTTCACTAAAGTTTTTAACTTTTTAAAATGAGACATAGGCACCAGCTCATTTCCTTTTGTGGTTTCATGCTTGAGAGAAGTTCTCCGGAAACACTAACTCAAAAAGTAGTAACTGGTCTATACTTCTCCTTCCGGTTATATCCTGGCAACTTTGGTATGAATCCACATGACTAAACTCTTGCTGATTTGTTTGTGCGCTGTGCTTAGCTAGTCACTCGGTTGTGACTGACTCTTGCAAACCCATAGACTGCCAGGCTACGAGGCTCATCTGTCCATGGGATTCTCCAGGCAAGAATACTGGAGTGGGTAGCCATTTCCTTCTCCAGGGGATCTTCCCAACCCAAGAATCAAACCTGGGTCTCCTGCATTGCAGGCCGACTCTTAACGGACTGAGCTACAAGCGAATCTTTAGACTGAAGCAATGTGAGGATGGGTATGTTTCAGCTTCAGGCCTTAAGACACTCAATATAGAAGGTTTCTAGAAACACTGTTTCTGCTTCCTTTTTTTTTTTTTTTTTAACTTGTCTTGGTCTACTCACAGGTGCAAGGTATTAATCTCTTCACAGAATGAGATATGATCAATAGGTGCTTTCAAAACGTATTTCTAAACAGACTGTGGCCTAGCTATATGTAAGTCTGCTGAGCAATTTTACAATGTAACATTTTTTCCTTTTCTAGCTTTAGTGAGATATAGATGACATATAACATTGCGAAAATTTAAGATGTACAATGCGATGATTTGATACTCATATACACTGTGAAATGATTACCACAAGGTTAATCAACCTCTCTAGTACTTCACATAATTACCATTATTTGATGTGTGGTGAGAACATTTAAGATATGCTCTGTTAGCAACTTCAAAGTATATAATCTGATCTGTTGACTATAGGCCCTGTGCTGGACATTAAATCCCTGGAACTTGTTCAGCTTGTAACTGGAAGTGAGCATCCTCTATACACAATGGTTTTCTTACATAGTACTAATCTTCCTAAGCCAAAAAGTATTACATACTCATAATCTTCTCACCCTCCAAAATATTCAGAAACCTTGTCATTATTTTACATTTAGAGGAACGTAAGAAATAAAATAAATGTCCTAAAGTCCTATCTTAATGATCAACAGTATAAATGAACCCTCAGCTGTTCTAGGTACTGGAGATGCAAAGAAAACATTTGTCCACAAGAGCTTCATAGTCTTCAAATCAAGTTGCAAACATAAAAAGAAGGAGGAGAAGAAGGAAGGAACAGAGTACTGTCACACAATGGCACAGACAAAAACTTAGTTGGGAGTTCAGAGGAGCAGGAAAACACAGAGGTCTGAGCATCTCAAACAGTGGCATCACAGGAGTGGTGGAATTCAAGAGAAGAGGATAGATTAGAAAATCAAAAAAGAAGGAATGAATAGTCTAGGCAGGAAGTTTAGGCAAGAAGAATGGCCTGAGCAAGATCTTGGGGTAGAGAATTTCATGGTAGGTTTGGGAAGATGATGGGAGCCAGTATTTAAAGTGTTATCTCCCTGAAAGTTTCACCGACCTCGATTAGCTAGAGAATTGGATCTAGTATAATTCATTTCACATGATCTACTAAAAAGTGCTGAGTCAGCAAGCAGTGCTAGGCTTGTCTCAGTTTTAAGAAAAACGGATGACAAAGCTCAAAAGGGTAACTTAAGATTTCTGTGATCATTCTTGAATGACGATATCCACCAAATATCTTTTATTTATATATGCTATGATAAAATCTTGACATTAAAAAGTATACACTAATTTACTAATACACTAATATACTAAGTATAGATTCTGGATTGAAGACTCAGAAAAGAATAAAATGTGACGAATATCAACACACTCCATTTAAGTTTCTCACTGGGTTCACTGAGAATGTACAGCCCTGGGAAAAGTTGGCTAAATGAATTCTGAATGCAAATCATTAACATGCTTAATGAAAATCATCTCTTACAATTCTTTCTTTTAAAAGGACACACACGCATTTGCCAAGTGTGCTCCAGAATGTTTCTCCAGTTCATCCTTCCAACAGCTACTTTTCTCCAGCCAGGTTCTCTCTCTGCTCTATTCTTGTACCTTTTTCAAGCTGCAACCTTGTCTAACACATCCACTTTTCCCCCTACAACAAACCATCTTTCCCACTCTGATCTCAGCATTCAATTCAAGATTTATCCAGTTCAATAAGCACTTCCTTTATTCTCTGCAGTCCACACTGTCCTTAGTTTGCTTATATTTTTGTATATTGTTTTACTTAGACCTGGTTTTCCTCTTCACTGTATAAGTTCTTTTTAACAGATTTTAGTCTCAGCTCAATGGTAAACTACACAGTAGGGACATTTACTATAGCTTGTGAAACTTACAATAATTAATATGACTGATTCATTTAGCAAATATGCATCATAACCTATTTTGTGCCAGGCAAGGCAATGAAGGTACAGTAAGAAACCTTACAGACATGGTTCCTGCTTCCTGAAACGTATGATCTCAAGGCCATAAGTCAGAGCCATTCTTTACTTATAGGCCCTATTATTCCTATTTTTGTTGAATGTCCACTCCTTGTCACTTCAGCAATCTTTCTCTTTCATTTCCAAATCAAAACCCAATCTGGAATCTCTTTTAAAATATCGTGCGCATAGAATGTGGGCTTCCCAGGGGCACTAGTGGGAAAGAACCCGCTTGCCAATGCAGCAGATGTAGAACATGCAGGTTTGATCCCTGGGTCAGGAAGATCCCCTGGAGGAGGGCATGGCAGCCCACTCCAGTGTTCTTGCCTGGAGAACTCCATGGACAGAGGAGCCTGATGAGTGACAGTCCATAGGGTTGCAAAGAGTGGGACACAACTGAAGTGACTTACCCCGCACGTACTTAGAATGCACTTACTAAATGAGTAAAGTATAGCTAAAAATATCATACACCCATGAATTATTTGGAAACAACTATCATAAATAAAGAGCAATAAGAAATGTTAAATGTACAAAACCAGGCTTCCCCAGTGGCTCAGCAGTAAAGAATCTTCCTGTATACAGGAGATATGGGTTTGATCTCTGGGTCAGGAATATCGCCTGGAGGAGGACATGGAAACCCACTCCAGTATTCTTGCCAGGAAAAATCCCATGGACAGAGGAGCCTGGTGGGCTATGATCCCTGGGGTTGCAAAGAGTTGGACACAACTGAAGTGACTGAGCATGCATACACATACAAACCACTCATAGCATCAGCTAAAACTGCAAATAAAACCATGCTTTCTTACCTGTTTTAAGTATGAAAGAGACCACCAATATCTACCTAGCAAAACCACATCTATGAACCACATAACTGTGCTTCCTTTTAAAAATATTTTGACAGCCAGTAAAAGAAAGAGCAAGAGAATCCAGTTTGGATGCATTTAAAATAGAGTGTTAAGATATAATTGTCTAAATTTGAAGCATTGTCATAATAAGCCCAGAGTTTTCCTCTATCCAAATGGGACAGGTCCAAATGTGGATACAGCCACAGACATTTCAAATCATCTTCTAATTCTCAGCCTTTCTGAGCAGATGCTGAGTGTCTAGAGTTTGTCTCACCTGGTGGCATAGTTCTTCCCACTGCCTCTGCAGAAGCTCCATGCGTTCGTTAAGGATGGAGATATCATCTTCACTGATGTAAGCACAGAGAGCCTTCTTCAGCACTGTCAGCTGTGCCAAGTCATCTGTCCAGCTCCCAACTGCGTTTTCTAATTCCTAGATTAAAAAAAAAAAAGAAAAGCACAAAACTTGAATACCCATGGGCATCTGTCATCACCAATTTCTCAAGTGTATTTGAAATCCCCTCTTGATGTCTCTGTGCTTCCAGGTGGCACCTGGGAATGCAGCAGACATGAGGCTTGGGTTTGATCTCTGGGTCAGAAAGATTCCTCTGGAGGAGGGCATGTCAACCCTGTATTCTTGCCTGGAGAATCCCAAGGACAGAGGAGTCTGGTGGGCTACAGCCCATAGAGTCTCAAAGAGTTGGACACAACTAAAGTGACCTGTTACTGGCACTTGATGTCATTACCTTTCCATTCCATTCTATTTGAACACCCAAACTGGTATCTATTGGGTTGGTCAAAAAGTTCATTCAGGTTTTTCCATCAGATGTTATGAAAAAACCTGAATGAACTTTTTGGCCAACTCAACACTTTATTTGCTTCCTACATAATCTGATAATTTGCCAAGTTCTTCTGATATAGTACCAGGTTGCTTACAGAATCTTTCCTAACTGGAAATAAAGATCTATTTTCCACTTCACTGACGGCTTCTGATTGTCTTTCCTAGTTCAAGTTTCATCACTGCATTGATCTTACTTACTTTTAAATCAGCTTCATAAAATCCTTTACCTTTGTCTCAAGTGACCAATCATGTTTGTGAAATACTTTTTAAAAATCCAAACTACTAGATTTAATTCTCATCTTCTAACACTATCAATTGCTACAGACTTATTGATACACTGTAGCTAAAAAGATGTGTGGCTGGTATTTCAGTTCAGTTCAGTTCAGTCGCTCAGTTGTGTTCGACTCTGCAACCCTATGAACCGCAGCACACCAGGCCTCCCTGTCCATCACCAACTCCCTGAGTCCACCCAAACCCATGTCCATTGAGTCGGTGATACCATCCAACCATGGTGTATTACTTGATTTAAAATAATGGACTGAATATGTTTACTGCAGAAGAAGAGAGATTGTTCAGTTACTGGTAAAATATGTATTTTGTCTTTTGGGGGAATAATTTCAGGAAAGAAAATCCATATTTGAATGTTTTTTCAACAGTTTTTGCAATGCTTTGAACAGATGACTAGTTTTACAATTTGTATAGCTCTTGCTTTTTGCCAGCTGTTGATGTTTTTAGATTCCAGCTAATTTTGTTCATGAATAGAATATTTCACATGGCTTTTACCTTCTCTTCTGCCTCATCAAACCGGAGACAAGTTTCCAAAGGCAAAGGCAATTAACGGTAGCCTGAGGCTAACTTCTCAGGCAATTTAAGCAAACTAGGTTTTAGCCAGAATTTTCTAGGTAATTGCTTTGTTTTGCTGCTAAGGTGGTTTGGGGGAAAGAGTAGCAGAAAGCTGGACCGGACTGCATCCTTCTAATCTCCAAACTTAATAGCAGGGCGTGTTTGTAACTGTTGTGTATTTTGGGACACAAGGTCTCATGGTAACAGTGTTTGGCTGAAAGACCAAACCATCCGGGAGTATTAAATATGCAGCATTTCTGTTTATATCTGTAGTCATATTAAACTGCCATATCAATGTAAAGATTTTATTCTTTTTATACCAATTTTCAACTCCACCCCAAACTCAAATATCAGATTTGGTGTATGGGTTTAAAAAAGAAACACCACCACCAGGGACCAACTCTCACAAACTCTCGGACTCCATTTTAGATGTTTGTGTGATAAAAATATAGCTCTTGGATTCTGGAAACTCTGATAATTACCAACTTTGAAAAGTTATGAAACTTTTAGCTGCTTCATTTTCCACATCTGTAGAAGGGAAATAACAGACTGTCCTCAGAAGCTTGCGTTCATGCCAACTGAGATAACACTGGTCAGTCATGGGCACACAAGAGCCTACTAAATGCCCACTCCTGCCTGTTGAAAGTTTTCTTTAATCATTTGTCATAGATTTACAGTCACAGACTTAAATTTTCTTTAATCTTTGCACACTACTGACTTTACATCTCTAGGTAATATTTCACTCCCTTATCATCCATGACATAAAGTATACTTCCTTTGTTTTTCTTAAATCTGCCTCTTTTCAAAGATCGTCCTCACATTTTAATACTGAAGAAAAATTCTTATATCTACTCTTTTAATGATTTTTGGACTTCTTTAAAAATTAATCTTTCTTGGGACTTCCCTGGTGGTCCAGTGGCTAAGACTCTGAGCTCCAAATACAGGGGACGTGCGTTCAATCCCCGGTCAGGGAAATAGATTCTACATGCCTCAATTAGAGATCCCATGTGCTGCAACTAAGATCTGGTGCAGCCAAATAAATATATAAATTTTTTAAAAATTAATCTTTCTTAAAGGCTTATGACTTCTTAGACAAAATGAAGCAGAGAATTTCTGATCAAAATCCAAATCATTTATGTCTGTGTGAAGTTTTAAACAAAGTCACTCCAATGCAGTAATTTACAAATGATTTGGAGAACATGAGGACATGTTTCATTGGAGGGAAAAAGCATCTTTAAAGATAACTTGGTTTTGATCTGCATATTGCTCAGCAGAGAACTGCTGTCTTGGCACTTGACTTTGCTACCCAGGAGTGAATGGAACAAATCCTACAGACATTAAATCATGTCAGTCTCAGTGAGCCCCCTGTTCAGGGAGTGGTCTGTATTAGCTACTGATTGGCTTCCAAGTGCCATTTGAGGTGTTGATCATAATCTTTAAATTGATAGGGCCCTGAAGATACAAAGGACTATGTGTCTCAACACAGTAAGTGCAATCAGCTACTTAGAGTTCCTATTTTTCTTATAGATAAGAGCCTAGAGAGCAGGTTGTGCTTCTCCAAGGACCATGGTCTACAGAATTTCCATGTTGCCGAGCCTCACTCTTTTATATGTGAACTAGACTCTTCTGCTGAATGACTGTCCAGTGTGAACGGTTTAGAAGGATTATCTTTATTGCTCTTAATCTAGGTTTTAAATGTCTTTTAATGTTGTGTTTTATATTTTCATTGACTCACTCATGGTAATCCATCAACTAGTCTAATTTCATCAACTACAATGAATCAATAAGCAAGTTTCATCAGAGCTGCCTGTCCTAATGCAAGATAACAGAAACTTGAACCTACATGTAGACAATTACAGGAGCTCAATTGAATTATGCTTTCAAAGGCATCACACTAGAAGCACAAGAAAGTGGAAGTGTTAGTCACTCAGTTGTGTCTGACTCTTCGTGACCCCATGGATCATAGCCTGCCAGGCTCTGTCCATGGAATTCTCTAGGCAAGAATACTGGAGTGGGTAGCCATTTGCTTCTCCGGGAGATCTTCCCGATGCAGGGATTGAACCCTGGTCTCGTGCATTGCAGGCAGATTCTTTAACATCTGAGCCACCAGGGAAGCCCAGAAGCACAGGTAGGTGACAGTTAAAAGCTTAGTCCAATGGTTTACCTTGCAGCACATCTGCTCCGCGTGGAGCTCTTCGTGATGATCTGGGAGAGGCTGGGAAAGCCTCTTTTTGAAAGTTCGTAGTTTCTCCAGAGAATCAGCTATTCCGTTCTCACATTTTTCCCAGTCCTAGAATGGGCAGAGAAAGAAATTTTAAGGAAGAGGGAGTTAGAAAACAAGAAAAACTCTTCTCAACTCCCTGAGAATGATTATTGCGAAGGCGTCCATATCCATAGCCATGGGAGTCAGCAGCAGGAGAGCTGAGTTCTAAACTTTTCTCATTATCTGCGTGACTTCAAGTAGGTGAGGCGCTATGTCTCAGTGTTCCTTACGAAAACCGAAATAACACAAACTCTCAAAAATTGCGGGAGAATGCAAGGAAATGATTGGTGTCAAGATGTCAAGGACAATGCCCAGAATATTACGAGTTTTCAAAAATGTGTTCTGGATCCAAATCTGTCTGCAGATGTAAGAGTATAAACACACAACTTTGCCTCTCTCCTAAATCCACCCATTACTGCACTCAAGTCTCCATTATCTCAACACACTATAAGGGATAGAAAAGAGGATATGGAATCTCTTTCAGAGTGAAAATACATAGTAGGTAAGAGAATTTGATATGAAATGTAAAAGTAATATAAACCTGGCTCTGATTCAATTCAATACATAAACAGTATGAATTAAAAGCAAAAAAAGTAGAAGAAAGAGAATTCAGAATTTTTAAATGTACATCTTATATGTCAGTACTGATCAGTACTCTGAAGGAGAATGTAACAGGTAAAGAGGTAGAGTATTGGGACTTCCCTGGTGGTCTAGGGGCTAAGACTATGCTCCCAATGCAGGGGGCTCAGGTTTGATTCCTGGTCAGGAACTAGATCCTGCATGCCACAGTTAAAGGTCTGCATGCTGCAACAAAGATTGAAGGTCTAGCAACTAAGACCCAGAGCAACCAAATTAATTAATTAATTAAAAAAAAAAGACGTAAGAGCATGGTGGTAACGAATGTGGTAGATCTCTAGATGCTGACAAAAGAAAGCATACATGCTGTGGTTGTGTTTCAGAATATTACACACCAAAGGTAACAAAGGTTACCTCTAGGAAAGGTACTAGGATTTGGATTTGAGTGGTGGGGTCATGTACGGGAAATTTCATTTTTTTTTTAACTCTCTGTACTTCAGTTCTTATCTGAATTTTTTTTCAGACACATGACTTCTTGGGTGATTAAAAAAAAAGAGTAAAAGAAAAAAAAAAGAGAGAGAGAGAGAGCAACCATGATGGAGACCTGATTCTTTATAGCACCCTATCTACAAATAGCCCACATCTGGGGTCTCTGTGCCAGTTAAATTCAACTCAACAAATCTCCTTCAGTTTGTCTGATATGCCACACTCCTGGCCTCCTGTTCTCCTCCCACAACTTAAATTACTGAGCTCCAGAGACAACTTGAGTTGTTTTTAGTCATCAGCCTAGTGCCAAATCCTGCTACATTTCTCTTCACATTATCCTTTTGATTATCTTTCATCACCAGTCTTTTCCTGTCTGAGTTCTTTCTATCTTTTCTCCTGATGCCTTATTTTCACCATAGCAACACACAGTTGCTATTTCAACTGTCTTCTCTGAGACATAATGGCCACCTTACCTCCTTGCTCATAATGTCTTTTGGTTTCTAAATAAACTGACAGTTTGGCCCAACATTTTCATTTTTTAAAAAAATTCCTTCGGGGAACTTCTTAGAGTATATAACCACATTCTTTCTTCCCATTCACCAGAAAGGACAAAAACAAAACCCAAAAGTCCCAGCTGTCTGTTTTGGACAGAATTGTTCCAATTTCCCTTTATTAAAATATCTTGGTATTCCCAAGCTATGCTTAGTTCATCAACGCTAAGCATAGTCAGGGCAGATAACAGACCCTCTTTCTGCTTAAGCTGAACAACATTCTCAATTAAATCATCTCACACACTGAAATCTCTCAATATGTAGACAAGAAATGTTCATTGACCTAAAAAGAGAAAAGGGCAGCTTTTTATTCTTCATAACAGAATTAAGAGATAATAGTGAAGGTGCTAAACATACAAGGCATAGAATTATGATGACTGTATTTTTGGCGTATTTACTCAGCATTCAATTAAAAGTGAAAATAGGTAAGCATCATAGCTGTGGTGAAAAGACACAGTAAAATGAGACTGTATAAACATTAAAATTTAGCTCCATAAATTCTTTCTTAGGTAAATAGGATCTAATGTATGATCCACAAATAAAAAATACAACTTTAACAAGAGAATAAGGATTCCCCTTTCCAAAGATGGATTAGATTCTAAAGCTATAACCGAGAGTTTTACTAAATGAATTATAAGGAAATAACTAAATGTTATGGTCTGCAAACATTTATCAAAGCAGATATTTTATATGCCAATGAACAAGACAGGCAAGGAAAGCAAATGAAATGACTCAGCCATCTCATCTCAGTAAGTCTTAGAAATGTGTCCAAAAGTCAATCACAAATAAAGAAAAAATATATGATTAACATGCTCTCTACAGAATGATTTATAGTGTTTTTAATCCTTTCCTGAAAGCCAAAAAAGAAGAAAAAAGAATTAGGCATATTGTATTACTGATGAATTGTGTTGTGTGCAAATAATGATTCTCTAACATATGTTGGGTGGCATTTTTGATTCATTGCTTCCTGCATAGAAGGTAGTATATTATTCAATAAAATTCAGCAGAAAAAAAAAATGAGTGTGCAAACATTAAGTATTCAGAGAAAAAAAGCAAAATGTGTTTTATTAACTTTATTATTATTACCTTTGATCCAAAAAAGGACAGGCCAAATTTAATAAATGATCTCATTAAATAAAGTGTTGGTGATTATCAGTGTATATAAAACTTTGGTATTTAGTCATGTTTGGTTTCAAAATGTTAATAATATCAACAGTAATTGCCATCATTTGTTGAGTACTCAGTATGTACCAAGTACTTTGATATATAATTCACTTTCATTATTTCATTAAATCTTCACAATGTCTTATGAAAGAGATGTGATCATACCCACTCTACAGATTAGGAAACTGAGGCTTTCATAGGTTGAGTTCGCCAGGTTACCTCATTTCTTATGGTTTTAACTTGGGTTTATCTGAGTTTAGAGCCCCATACCTTCATTCAACTGCTGACTTAATTGTGTCTTATGCAAAGAATTGGAAAGTGAGGGAGAAAAGCACATTGTGGGAGGTCTGATACAGCTACATTTCCCTAAACTTTCTGTATGATCAGCATGCTGTCTGTATCCAACTACAGGCTTAATATACCTCCTGGAGATTTTATCTTTGTAGCAACTTGCTTGGATAAGCTAAGAACAAATCAGGAGTGTCTTTTTGGATAGTTTTCCCCTGTTATAAAATAAGAGATATCAATCTCAAAAGCCAGTTTAGGGTCTTAGATTAGGGAGAGGAATCTGCTCTTTGCATTCTTGTCTGGATTTATAAAGTCATCTCATGGCTTCTGGCTTAGCACTGGCCATGAATCAAGAGTTCATCACTTGGACAGTCTTTTTAGTTTTCAAACTACTTTGTTGGGGGATTTTCCTGAAAGACAAACTGCTGAAGATTGGGAAACTTTTCCCGTTCAGGCAAGACAGGACAAAGCCTTAAATGAGACACAGGGGATCAAACTACTGCAAGGTCTGATATAATGATCAGTGTTATTTGGTTCATAGGATAACGACATTGAGGAAGCAGCACAACTATTATGAGGGCATTTTAAACCACATGAGACCCATAGGAGGGAAGAGCTGAACTTACCTGCAGCAAGCCGGCCAGGTTTTTCTTCTGCTCTTCCAGACACACACTTGCTGACTTCCATTTCTCTTGGATCTCAGCGAGTTCGGCCTGCAGGGCGGCCTCGGCCTCGCTGTCGGCTGAAAGCAGAAGCTGCTTGCCAGCCTCCACGGTGAGGATGTAGCTGCCTTGTTGCCGCAGGAACACTTTTTCTTTGAACTGAAAGGAACCGGAGATTTTTTACTTTCTCCTTCTTCTCTTCACCATATCCCCATTATAAGTGCTTTTAAATAATCCTAAATTTCTGCATCCATAACATGCCTTCTTTCTTAAAGCTTTACTGACCCTATACTGTGGGCCCGAGTGAAGCAACATATAAATAAATGAGAATTCCAGACAGGGTTTAGTTTCTGTTGCCAACCTTTAAACACAGTCATGATGCAACAGGAAGACTTCTCTATGAGACTGATGCAAAGAGACACAGAGGGCCGTCTGACCCACGTGGAGGGCACAGCAAGCCTTCTTCAAGAGGCAAAAGCTTCATGAGTCTTGAAAGACAGAGGGACACAAACAGATGAAGAAGGATCTGGTGTGATGAGGACCAGGAGTCAGGGAGAGAATACCTTCCGCACAGAGAAACGAGGACGGGCAAACTCACTCGACGGGATAAATCATGAGGAGTTCAGGACACTGGACTCGGCTATCAGTGGCTGCAGTATAGGATGTCTATAAGTGAGTGGTGTAAGATGAGGCAAGACCAGGCCTTAAAGAGGAGACCGATTTTTATAGTAAAAGTGACTGAGATTCATGGAAGAGTATTAAGCCATCAGGTAGAAAATGGAGTGGAAGAAGGTCATATATAGGATACCCTAAGACACGTTAGGGTTTCTCTGGTGGCTCCGTGGTGAAGAAAGCCTGCCAATGCAGGAGATGTGGGTTTGATCCCTGGGTCAGGAAGATCCCCTGGAGAAGGAAATGGCAATCCACTCCAGTATTCTTGCCTGAGAATTCCAAGGACAGAGGAGCCTGGTGAACCACAGGACATGGAGTCCAAGAGTGAGTCAGACGTGATTTAGAGACTAAACAACAACAACAAAGACAGGTAAGGGAGCGCTTGCCTATCTAGGGAAGAAATCATGATCATCGAATCTAAGGCAGCAGCAGTGGGGATGAAGACTCGAGGGATATAAGATGCAAGAAGCATGAGAAAAAAGCAGAGTAGAGGTCTAGAAGGACTCTCGCGTTGCTGATGGATATAGACCATGGATATAGGCCAGTGATGACATTTCCTTGGGCTGGGCACATGGAATGGATGAATGGAGAATGGTTGGTTCAGGGATCACAGGCACTATTGGAACCCACCAAGTATATTATGTCTGTGATGCAGATAAAGCTAAAAGGCGGCTGGTCACATGAGTTGGAGGCTCAGGAAGTGAATGTGACCGGAAGATCCAAAGTGACCCTTCTCTGCTGGTAGGGAGTAGCGGAAGCCATGTGTAGAGATGAGGTTTCCCAGAGAAGCGAGGGGGAAGACAGGAAGCAGAGAATGACCTTTAAGAAAGAGGAGCCCACGAAATATACTGGGAGGGACCGATGACAGGATGAGGAGGTCTCTTTATTTAAGAGGCTGGAGTCCCAAACTCCCAGGTGGTGAAAGTAAGGGGAATGGACAAACAGCCCACCCAGGACTGACCCTTTCACCTTTCCTGGAATATTTAGGGTACATGTTTAAACGGCTCATGAGTAAAACATGTATTATCAACACCAGGCTTTCCTCTGCTTGCCATTGTATTTCCATCCAGGCTGGGACTCACTGAGCTGCCGAGAGGGCTTTGGGGGTGAAGTGCAGGCAGTCTTTGAAGAAGCTGGGACTTTCACCGTTAAATATGGACTCTGTAATGGATCATTTTGTACATTTCTGCGGACATTTGAGTACAAAGCTTGTCATCATTCCAGGGTCACTCTAGAATCCTGAAGAACCAGGGTTAGGGTAAAGCATGCAGCAAAAATGCAGAAGAGGTTTAAAAACAGCCTGCTTTGCACCTTACCTGCACTTGATCAAAGAGGGCTCTTGCTTGCTGCAGTGGTGTCGGGACACTCCCCAGACCACTCACGGGCAGACAGGAAACTTCCGCCAGCCACTTACGGAGCTTTTCTGCCATCTCCCTGTAGCGCTGCCACTGGCGGATCTGGCTGTCGATGATGCCTCGCCTCTGCTGGGCCCGGCGGATCACCCCCTGCCACTGATTACTGAGAAGGGTCAATTTCAGGTTGAACTCATCCCTGGTGAAGAAATAGTTACATAAGGAAAACCATCGTTATCCTGATGGAAGTGTTGTGAAAGTGTTAGCTGCTCAGTCTTGTCCGACTCTGCGACCACCTGGACTGTAGCCAGCCAGGCTCCTCTGTCCATGGAATTCTCCAGGCAAGAATACTGGAGTGGGTAGCCATTCCCTTCTCCAGGGGATCTTCCCGACTCACGGATCAAACCCGGGTCTCTTGCACAGAAGGCAGATTCTTTATCATCTGACCCACCAGGGAAGCCCTATCTAGGATAGAGGTTTTCATATATCATGCTATGATCTACCATCTGGTCTATTGAATGTAATTTCAAAAATTGATAAACAGTTAAACTATCAGTCCACCAGGACTTCCCTGGTGGCTCAGATGGTAAAGTGTCTGCCTACAATGTGGGAGACCTGGGTTCAATCCCTGGGTTGGGAAGATCTCCTGGAGCAGGAAATGGCTACCCACTCCAGTATTCTTGCCTGGAAAACCCCATGGACGGAGGAGCCTGGTAGGCTACAGTCCACGGGGTGGCAAAGAGTCGGACACGACTGAGCGACTTCACTTTCACTTTATCAGTTTGCAAGCAGTGAGTATCAGAACAGGTGGACATATCTGTAAGGTCACCGTCATTCACTTCGAGTGCGTGAGAGGGGATGGAACATAAGGCAGCAGCTTCACTGCGAATGACCCCCGGACATGCCCATCACAACGTATGCAGCGTGTGACAGCATATTATGTATGCCACAGCAGGAGAAAGCGAGGAGACCAGCTTATTTACAGCCTCTGTGTCCAGCTACAATTATAAACCACTTTGGATGAACAAAACTGGGTTATTTTAGCTAGAATCACAAACCACTTAAACAAAACTATGTTGTGTAAAAATACTTAAAAAACTGTACTCCATAAACTCTCACTATTCAATAGACAGCTCTAATCTTTAGCAAATTATTTCACATTCTAAAACATCCCTTCTACATTTTAAGCCCAACTTTACCCATTCTTAGAAAAATGTAAACCATCTAGTCATCATTTTTTGAATAAAGGTTGTCTATATACTTAGAGACATTAAATTTTATTTATGCTTTCTCAATATCAGGCTGACTAAACCTCAGAACTTTTAGTTGCTTCTTTCTACCTCTGTGTTTCCTAACTTTAAAAAATGTTGGTAGTTTTGTGTTTTTTTTTTTTAATTATGTTTTCTTTAGCATCCAACTGTGGTTCTAGAACTCGTTTGTCCAGTATCAAATAGACTGGGTTTCTTTGTAGATTATAGTGCTAGCCACATATTTTAGTACTAAAGTGTAACATTACTTGCTCTTTCTCTCTTTTACTCATTTTGCTTTTCTTTCCTCTTGCAGATGGATTCCAACCTGAATTATATTTACTATTCTGGATTCCTATATTCTTGATATATTACCTAGGGCTACTATAAACTTGAGTTTCCCTGGCGGCTCAGACAGTAAGGAGACTTGAGCCATGGGTTCCATTTCTGGGTAGGGATGATCCCCTGAAAAAGGGAATGGCTACTCACTCCAGGATTCTTGCCTGGAGAACTCCATGGACAGAGGAGACTGGAGGGCTACAGTCCATGGGGTCACAAAGAATTGGAAATGACTAAGCAACTAACACACACTAAAAACTGATTTTGTAATCAAATGTGTGATTAAGTGTTTCTGTTTTTGAAAGAAAATTCTGATGTTTATAATCTACTTGCAATAGAACTAAATATGATGAATTAAAAAATTAATAACAGTTAAACTGTCAATGTTTGCAACCAGTGAGTGTGTCAGAATACGTGGACATGGCTGTAAGGTCAAATATGATGAATTAGGTTCATGACACTTCCTTAAAAGGTGCAAGTGTCCGTCATCTCTGACAGCGTCTAACTCCAGGACTCGAGGATGTTCTGTAAAAATGAACAGTACCATATATATTGCTTCCCTATCAGCTAGCATCCAGGGTCTCTCTGGAGCCTCATCTTCACTTTGTAGAACCAAGCTGTCCGGAACTATCTGACAGCATGAGGAACTACTCAAAACATGACACTTGGCTCAGCGCTGAACCTGAACTCTCAAAAACAAAACGTATAAGCGAACCTTTAAAACACAACACATTGTCATCTAGGACCTCCCTTATTTGTCAACATGCTCTCGTCTGAATTTTTTTTTTTCCACTAGCAACTTCCAAAACTATCCTCGGGTCCAATCCTCAATTCATCTCCTTGGTGTTTTTCCCTGCTAACATTTAAAATTTAATAGATGTTGGCTTGCACATGAATTTTAAATTTTATTTTACTTAATGATGTGAGCTTTTATAATATTGTTACAGAGAAGGGAGGATAAAGCAAAAGATAAATTAATTGCATTTGAATATGTCTTATTCTAAAGGCCTTAAATTCTCAGTTAAGCTCACATTTAAGTTTGGCTTCTTTAGAATAGAATAAATATGGCATCATATTTTGTTGTTCCAAGTTTAACCATGAAAACCTTTCATGTACTTCCAAAGAAATATCCACTTAAGACTAAAATTGGTTCCAAAACATGCAAAAAAAACCCACACACACACTCTTAATCAAAATAATGACTTATTTTCTACCTTTTTTTTGGGGGGGGGGAAACTAAGTTAATGATAATCACAACTACTGGTCCTAATTATGGAAAAGACATACAAATCTGATAAAAGAAATGAGGTTTGTATTCCAAATATCACCATGGAAAATTGACTGGGTAGAGTAAATATTGTTCTTAGGAAAGGTAACATAGGACGAAGCTGTCAATTCACATGCCATAAATCTAGAAAGGGGCTAGATCTTGCCTCTGCATTTTTAATACTGAGATACTTTGTTAAGCAATAAAGAGAAAGCAAGGTTTCAGGCTGAGTGTAACCCGACTTAAGGCAGCAAACCATTTTCAAATCACGGTAAGGGAAACCTGGCTTTTAAGCCAGGTACATGAGGGCTAGGCTTCATTCTGTTGCTACTTAGTTATGTGACCTTGGTCAAATGAACTCACGTTTCTGGGCCTCAATTTTTCATTTGTAAGTAAGAGAGCTGGTCTAGTGACCTCTGTGCTCCTCTGAGGAATAAAATTTCTGCAACTGTATGAGAATATTACCAGCATCTGTTGATACATCATTGACACAATTCATTCTGATCTATTTTAATTCCAGCCTCCTACAGACGACTAGCAAAGGTTGGCTAGGTGATTTCCAATTACTCTATGTCCTTCATATAACACAACAGAGGTTCTTTAAAAGGATTCAATACTCAGTCATTTCAGAGGTCCAGACAAGCCCTTCCTCCAATTACTGAGGGTCCTTTGCGGGACACTTGCTTTAGGTATATGCTCTCTAATTTGCTCAAAGAAAATGACTAATTTACTGGAAGCTTTCTTTGTGATAAAATATCAAAGATCCTACCTGTCATCAACTTGACCTTGCTCTAGAAGATGCTGTCCATCAAAAATGATCGAGTGCAAAATCTGCTGACGGCTGAACATCTCTGCTTGAAACAACTGTTATTTTTTTTAAAAAAAGGAAAAACATCATTTAGAGTTCCTAATTTTAGTGACCAGTTCTCCAAAAACTTTCCAAAAATTCTGGTTTAAGCAAGACTATGAAAAACACTTCCAGATGAATCAGGCTGTATTAATATAAAAAATCCTGCAATGTAAGAACATTTTTAAAACTATCTGTTAAGATAAACTTAAAGATACAGTTTAGTTTTTGTCTACTAAGACTAAGTGACTAAAAGTAGAATTATGTTTCCCTTCTTTCTTTCAAAATCACCCAATAAAGTTAGTTAATACATAATTTGTATCCTGGTTTATTTTATATGCAGAATACGGTCCATTTTTAGACAGAATAGTTCTAAAACCTTTTAAAAAGTTGAAGAATGGAAAAAAATCCACCATTTTTTAATAAACTCACTGTTTTCAATTTAGCTTAGTTAATAAAATTGTTTCACCACTAAAAGACTTTCAAATTTTCACTGTTTTTTAAACAGGTTTATTGAGACGGAATTCTATATCATATAATTCACTTGATTAAAGTGTACAATAATTTTTCTTATATTTACAGTTATACAACCATCATCACAATCAATTTTAGACTATTTTCACAATCCCCTCCCAAAGCTCCAAACTCATTAGAAAGTTTCCAGCTTTTAGCTTTTCTCTGCCTTAGGAATCCTGGATCTCCATTTGTGTGTATTTCATAAACACATGGAGCAACTTAGTTACACCAGTAAACAGCAAAATAAGAGACTAACAACAAGTTGATTAATTTGCTTTCTGTATCTAATTCTCTTTAGATGTTGCTTGAGGAAGAATTATAGTGCAATTTGATCAGGAAGTACACTGGGAGATGTTTGATAGCTTTATTTTCTAGCATAAAATATGTATGTGCTTTTTAAAGAACTCACAATTTTAATTTATTAAAGATTTTGATCAAAATGTAATCTCTAAGCGACTAGCCTTGGCAATATTATTGTAGTCTGTAACTCGGAAATAATCTTACCATAATTCTGACATGATACCTCACAGGGTATTGAAGCCTGTCCCATGCTTATAACCAACCACGCTTTTGTGATTAAGATATCAAAACTTCAAGCTTAAAAAAGAAGACAAAAACAATGCATGCATTCGAGCTGACTCAGCGCACAGTATAGGACTTTCTTCCACATGGCATTTTGCAGCATCTTCCAAAGGCCTAGCACTATTTTATCAGCCAAAACTGTACTGGCATAACTTACCTCATGTGCTCTCTGCTGCTCCAGAAGATGCTGATAATTGCCTGAAATCTCTACTGCTAACTTCTGTTCCGTTTGAACTAGGAATTCCATCCATGTTTCACATTTTTCCAAGAAAGTCTGATGTTGTAGCAAAAATGACTGTAACTTACTGACAGAACGAAAGAAAAAGAATGACAATGTTGCTGCTTTTTTCTTATGCCTGTAGCACATAAAGCTAGATTAAATATTCTTTGCCTCCAATTCTAATTTGACCTCTACAAAGCTCTCACATTAGGTAGTAAAGTGTTTTAAAAACTAAAATTGAAGAAAAATGTTTTAATGATAAAATTATATATCTTTCATATATTCTTATATAAAAGCTTTATTTTTTGATTAAAACATTATTCAGTACATTCAACATGGGAAACCGTATCACAATTTGAGTTGCCCACTTTTAGCTCAAATTTTGTATCACTGGAAAGATAGAATGTATAAATATACACAAATCATAAACTTATCTCAAAGGATATTTCAGAGTGGCCAAAACACCTCTGGGTTACGCTACCTGAATCTTTCTGTAGTCTGGGAGGAGATCAGAGACCAGTGACGATTCAGATTCTGCATCCTTTTGATTTCTTTATCGTTTAGGGGCAGCCTGTATCCAAGCTCATTCAGACGGTCTAAATCTGGGACCATGCTGCTGAATTTCAGCATCTGTCCCTGGAAGCAAGATGCAAAAGTAGGTTTAGCACTGCGGTCAGAAAAGGCAGAGGACTTTCAGAGTGGACAGCGAACTTCTGATTTCAGGGAGAAGCTGGTCTTTGGTCTCCTCTGAGTTCCTAGGCACCCACTAGCAATCTCGAGTCGCAAAGAAAGCAAGCTGGCATCTCCCCGTCAGCTCTCAGCGCTGCTGCTGCTACTGCTGCCAGTTACTCACTGTCCTTTATTGAACGCTTAGGAGTTTACGTGTGTAATTTACTTGCATCATTCACCCATCAGTAATTCTTGCTTGAACTGATAAAGGATGAAAATTGTGTTGATGACTGAAAAAACTTATTTCCTACCCTTTATATGTCATTTATCTGCATTAATCTGCTCCATTATTATTTAATAATAATAATAGTTATAGCAGTAATAGCTAACGTTTATTGGGCCCTTATAAACCAAGCACTGTCGTAAGAGCTTTACAGATAATAACTCGTTTTATCCTCAGAACAATTCCAAGCGCTAAAAACCACTACTATTTCTGATTTACAACAGGAAATATGAGGCACAGACTCTTTAAGGAAATTGCTTATGACCACCCAGCTCATGAGAGAGCCAGATAAGCAACGCTTGATGCATTCTCCCTGGATAGAACACAAACTCACTTGAAATCTGAAATTACCATGTGTCATCTCAAGAGCTTCAACTTTAGTTTCTTGACCCCCAACCCCAAAGTTGGTGAGACTCAACTGAGAAGCAGCTTATGCTTTCTGGTCTTTTGTCTCCCCACACACAGGACAAAGCTGCCCGGCCTGGTTTTCCTGTGGGCATTCTTAACTCCACCAAGGAAATTGGCTATAGGAAGAAGAAAAGGTCAGGCCACCTTTGGCTGTGTGTGTTTCCAAGTTATAAGCTCTGCAAAAGGCTCATAACCCTGAGAGAGGATAAATCTTTCCAATTGTTGAAGCCAAAAGCAACGTATTAGATGCCAGAATTTCCACAGGTACATATCAGCAGTGAACAAAACTGACATGGTGGTCACGGAGAGTAAGACACTATTCCAACAGAGGAGAGAACAGTAGTCACTTAACTGCATGAACATCATTAGAAGATGCGATGAAACTCTGAAGAAAAAGAACAGAGGGTCTGACAGTGTATCGCTGGGGGGGCCTGATCATGGACAGAAGGAGAGGCTTTCTGAGAGCGCCATTGAACAAAAGGACCAGGAGCTGATTCCTTTTGGTGGGCATGGAGTTGGTGGGGATAAGGAATGAATTCCAGGATGAAGGAAGCCAGAGCACATCTTGCCCAGATTGCTGGGAAACCCTGCAGCTCCCAAGTGGCTGGAGAGTGAGATGGACAGTGGTGAAGATGAGATTCTCAGGAGGGTGGGAGCTGGGTATTTCTGGTCTTGATACTTCACCACATCTTTGTCCTGAGAGCAATGGGAACCCATTGAGGGTTTAAGCAGAGGGACAGTATAATAATAAAATGGGCATGTCTATTGTATTATTTTACTTACTTTAAAATAGTTCATAATTAAGTAAATCTCTGCAAAAGAAAAAGATCATTGTAGCACTATGGGTTGGAGGGAGAGAGAGAGATTCAAGGAGGCCCATGGAGGCTGAAGCTTGGCCTTGGCCCCGGAGAGAGACTGGGCAACTTGAACTAGGAGTGGATGAAGGTAGCGATGAAGCCGAGAGGTTTAAGGACCCTGACGGAGGCCATGGACTAGGTGGAGCAGGGACCAGAGGGAGGAGGAAGAAGAGTGAGATGGAGACACAGCACTGCTCCTGGGGTCCCCCATCACAGACCACAACATCTGCTGTGCTCCAATGACTGAAAAAACTTATTTCCTACCCTTTATATGTCATTTATCTGCATTAATCTGCTCCATTATTATTTAATAATAATAATAGTTATAGCAGTAATAGCTAACGTTTATTGGGCCCTTATAAACCAAGCACTGTTGCAAGAGCTTTACAGATAATAACTCGTTTTATCCTCAAAACAATTCCAAGCGCTAAAAACCACTACTATTTCTGATTTACAACAGGAAATATGAGGCACAGACTCTTTAAGGACATTGCTTATGACCACCCAGCTCATGAGAGAGCCAGATAAGCAACGCTTGATGCATTCTCCCTGGATAGAACACAAACTCACTTGAAATCTGAAATTACCATGTGTCATCTCAAGAGCTTCAACTTTAGTTTCTTGACCCCCAACCCCAAAGTTGGTGAGACTCAACTGAGAAGCAGCTTATGCTTTCTGGTCTTTTGTCTCCCCACACACAGGACAAAGCTGCCCGGCCTGGTTTTCCTGTGGGCATTCTTAACTCCACCAAGGAAATTGGCTATAGGAAGAAGAAAAGGTCAGGCCACCTTTGGCTGTGTGTGTTTCCAAGTTATAAGCTCTGCAAAAGGCTCATAACCCTGAGAGAGGATAAATCTTTCCAATTGTTGAAGCCAAAAGCAACGTATTAGATGCCAGAATTTCCACAGGTACGTATCAGCAGTGAACAAAACTGACATGGTGGTCACGGAGAGTAAGACACTATTCCAACAGAGGAGAGAACAGTAGTCACTTAACTGCATGAACATCATTAGAAGATGCGATGAAACTCTGAAGAAAAAGAACAGAGGGTCTGACAGTGTATCGCTGGGGGGGCCTGATCATGGACAGAAGGGGGGGCTTTCTGAGAGCGCCATTGAACAAAAGGACCAGGAGCTGATTCCTTTTGGTGGGCATGGAGTTGGTGGGGATAAGGAATGAATTCCAGGATGAAGGAAGCCAGAGCACATCTTGCCCAGATTGCTGGGAAACCCTGCAGCTCCCAAGTGGCTGGAGAGTGAGATGGACAGTGGTGAAGATGAGATTCTCAGGAGGGTGGGAGCTGGGTATTTCTGGTCTTGATACTTCACCACATCTTTGTCCTGAGAGCAATGGGAACCCATTGAGGGTTTAAGCAGAGGGACAGTATAATAATAAAATGGGCATGTCTATTGTATTATTTTACTTACTTTAAAATAGTTCATAATTAAGTAAATCTCTGCAAAAGAAAAAGATCATTGTAGCACTATGGGTTGGAGGGAGAGAGAGAGATTCAAGGAGGCCCATGGAGGCTGAAGCTTGGCCTTGGCCCCGGAGAGAGACTGGGCAACTTGAACTAGGAGTGGATGAAGGTAGCGATGAAGCCGAGAGGTTTAAGGACCCTGACGGAGGCCATGGACTAGGTGGAGCAGGGACCAGAGGGAGGAGGAAGAAGAGTGAGATGGAGACACAGCACTGCTCCTGGGGTCCCCCATCACAGACCACAACATCTGCTGTGCTCCCAGACATCACTCCTCTCAAGGGAACAGAAAAGCACAGCTGGCAAGAATTCTCTTGGGAACAAACAGTAGGCTTATGTCAGGAGTTTTGAGTTACCCTTAAGACTCTGAGGATAAAAGATAGACCTGGGGGACTTCCCTGGCACACCAGTGATTAAGGCTCTGTGACTTCACTGTAGGGGGCATGGGTTCGATTCCTGGTAGAGGAAGTAAAATCCCACATGCACATGCTTGGCCAAAAGAAAAAAAGAAGAAGAAGCAGAAGCTAGATCTGGGACGAGGATTTGAACACACTTACCTTCAGCTCCTCCATCCTTTCCTGGATGGTCGAGAGGTCAGATGAGTGGCTAGGGTCCTGCCCTTGTAGTATTTCTTCAGCTTCTACTATCCAGGTCTCCAAACCTTCTAAACTCTTGGTAAAGGTTTCATAGTCAAGAACGCCAGCCTTTGTTTCCACAAAAGAAAATTGGTATTTAGAAATCTAGTGAAAGGGCAAGTGGATGTTAAAATTATTTTTCATATTCTTGCATCAAATTGCCATTCTACAGATGTCATTTCTAAAAAGACATGGTTGCCATGATCTACACTTTCTTCTTTGTATTAATGTAATTTTCCTAAAGCTTAGAATTACTTCTATGTACCATTAATTAACCAATTAAAGTTTTTTAAAATACATCATCAAGAGAGATATATTGATTCTTGCAAAAGCTTATGTAAACATGAGTGTTAACATTAAAGTTACTTAACATTTATTAACTGAACACATTTTACCATGGGACAAATCACTGATTTCAGGGCAAAATTACAAGGTAGAGAATAGGGCAAGACTCCCAGCTTTCCTTGACCCCATTGGAACTTTCAAATTTATTTCTTTTTAAATTTTTTGATCTTGAAGGAAGCATTGTTTTGATGATGAAAGTTCTCCTTTTCCTGTTTATGCCCAGGTTTTATAGGATGCCTAACTCATAACACCCGCTGAATATAAGCTCTATACCTGTAACACAGTCTGCTGTTTGCAGAGAGCCTGTTCTAGGGCATGTAATTGTTGCCTCAAAGAGAGCCAATCGGACTGAATGGCTGATGCTGCCGAAGCATCCACTTGTTGCTTGAGTTGCCCTCCCAGCTCATGAAGAACTACAAGAGAATCCTGAATCGGCCCCAGTCCTTTGAGGAGGTCCTACAGAAGATGAACACATGCTCATCAGGAAACAACAGGTTAAGTGCACTTATTATTGTAAACAATTACAGACACTCATTCTTACTGTTCAATTACTATACTGAATAACCTCCCCCTGCAGGGGTGGGGGGGACGAAATCAAGAATTGAATTCTATTTTTTAAAAACGTGTGTATTAACATAAAAAAGTGCTATTCTTATTATAAAAGCCACATAGGTTCCTTGTAAGACATGGAGGAAATGCAGAAAAACTTACATAAAGAAGAAAAAAAATTATCTACAAGTAGAGCCAATAACTAGAAATATTTCGGCAGTTTTCTTTTTTTTTCCCCCCGCCTCTNATATTTTGGCAGTTTTCTTTTTTTTTTCCCCCTGCCTCTTCATGTAATTGATATCAAGTTGAAAATCCAGTGCTACATTTTACCTTCCAGGACTTAATATTAGACAGGCAAGGGAGGAGCCGTATGTGTAGTCACACCATAGTGGTTACAGAAGCTCCACCCTGGCGGGAGGGCTCAGAGGCCTAGGTATGGCTCTGTGAGCATCAGCAAGAGCGGACTCCATTCTTTTCCGTGGCATCTCCGGCCTCCACGTTTTGTGGGACCCTCGTATATGCTCCAAATTATAAACTGGTGGAAATTCCCTGTTTCAGTTTCCATCTACCACTTAGGGGTGACAACTGACTGGTTCTTCTACCTGTTGCTGATGACTCACAGATAAATGGAAAGAGCAGAGCCTGCCTGGGGACTTCAGTGAGAGGGGTAAAACAAAGGACAGCTTTAATCCTGACAGAGAGATGAGAAAATTCACGGCCATCATTTGGCGCACTTGACTGTAAAACAAGCATCTCTCAACTCAGGAGGACTGAAAATGGAAAATGACAAGTCTCATAAAGATGAGCTATGTGGAAAGAGGAAAAAAAAGCACTGAACTAACTTCACGGTAAAACTTAAACTCTAGCTTTCAAGGGAATATTCATTTTTCATGTGAAGGCCTTAGAATGAGTTGAACTTTTATTTATGTGTTTTTTATAACCTGCCTAATTCTAATAAACTGATTTGGGAAAGTTTATAAGAAGGTCCTTGAAGTAAGTTCATTAAAATAAAGACAAACGGGGTAAACAGTAAGAGGCATGTGATAGATGAAACAAGAGAAGAATAATTTCTGAAAACTTTAAGTAGGTTATTGGCAGCTGCAGTGAAAAAGAGAAATATTAAAAAGCTATTAAAAAGAAGTATACTCATAAATCAGGAAAGACTTCTTCTTCCCATTAAGTTCTTAGAAGAAATTATTGTGTTGAGGCTTACATAAGAGATAATGGCCCTAACTGGACAATATCTTCTTAACAGTGGATTTTTAAAAGATGTAACATTACTCTTCATATGGTCATTTCTTATATTGACCATCTTTGCAAAAACACAGAGATCCTAAGTCTTTCACATGGACTGTATTCCATTAGAAAAAAATGGGAAAATGACTCTTTAAAAAGAAAGCAATGGGAGGGGATCTCTTTAACTGTGATACATGTGCAACTGTGTTCTGAAAGCCAAGCAGGCTCTCTGATATTTGAAACAATTATTTGTGGAAAGCTGTTCCACATAGAGCCATAACGAAAGCTTACACACAGCAGCACTTGCCCTGCAAAAACCTGGGAAGTCCAAGCCTGGCAAGCTGAGAACTCATGATAGTTCTTGACCATACATTGCAATCTTGGATCCAGGTGGCGACTTCGTCATCACCGATGTCCTTGTCGGTGGCTGCCTTCAAGAACTCGCTGGTTCGTCCCTCCTGCTGTTGAACTGCAGCGGCACACTGTTTCGAGAAGTCCTTGTATCGCTGCCAAAGCTGAAGTAGGGCCTTGCTGGCACGCAGCTGCTCGGCAATCTCTTCCAGCAAGTTATTCCATCTGGAAATGATAGCCAACACTCATGGGTTGAGTCCCACCTCTCACCAAATGCTGTGATTTGCTATTTTATTTTTCATGATCCTGGTTCATGTGAATATGGAAATAATGCAGATGTCTCATTTCTATTTAACGTAATAAAAAGTAACATTTCACACACATATTTCAAGGATAGATGGTAGAAAAGGGGTCAATCTCGGGGTATATTGCAGTTATAATTCCTTCCTAAATGTTTTCACTGCATATGTGTGTGTATGTGTGTGTGTGTGTGTGTGTGTGTGTGTGCCGTCATAGCCCGCCAGGCTCCTCTGTCCATGCAATTTCCCAGGCAAGAATAGTGGAGTGGGTTGCCATTTCCTTCTCCAGGAGATCTTCCCAACCCAGGGATCGAACCCAAGTCTCCCACACTATAGGCAGATTTCTTACCAATGAGTCACCTGAGAAGCCCCATTTTCACTGCATTTGTTTCTCCTTAAATTCATTTTGTGAAAATAAAAACATTAATAGAATAGAGCCTATAAGGCTCAAGTTCAAAATGCTAGGGTTTTAATTATATCATTATTTATAATTAGATTGTGATATAAATAATGAGCAACACTGTAAAACTAGCATATTCCATACCTCATGTTGACTTCTTTTAGTGTATTAGTAAGAGTTTCTGTCACAGGTGGGTGACATTCTTTTAAAAGTTGATTGGTCACAGAGCCAAATTTCTGCAAGCTCTTTTCCTGTTTTTCTAGATCATCTTGAAGATTCTGCCCAAAGAAAAGACCACAGATGACATGACAGGGTCTAAAAGTTCTAATGACCAAGTTTTAAAGTAATATAGCTGTTTTCATACAATATGAAAATATGCACATACAAATACATAAACTGTGACTTTTGCCCCAATGTTTTATAAGTTTCCTTTAGATAATCATTTTTTTTATAAGTTTGTTCTTGTGGGTGCTAGGAGGGACTCTTAACAATTGAGCCTTGGAGTGGGATGGGTAATTCTGCCAGGAAAGTTCACACAGGGAGGCCCTGTCCATCATCCAGGAGGAAGCCGAGGGGCTGGTGGGCGTGCAACCTGGCACATCATGGGTCTCTCTGCTATTCAATATCAAAGTCCCGATCTGTATTCTATTATTTACCAAGAGTTACACTATCAGAAACTTCTGATAATGATAGTTTAAGATATCATAGCTTTCCTGCATGTGTGCATCTTCGGTTGCTTCAGTTGTGACAGTCTGACTCTTTGTGACCCTGTGGACTGTAGTCTGCCAGGTTCTTCTGTCCATGGGTTTCTCCAGGCAAGAGTGGGTTGCCATGCTCTAATCTAGGGGATCTTCTCCACCCAAGGATCAAACCCTAGTCTCCTGCATCACCAGCATTGCAAGCAAATTCTTTACCCACTGAGCCGCCCAGGAAGCCCCATAGCTTTTCTGAGTACCATCTAAGTTCTAGCTCTGAGTGTTCTTCCTTGTGGAGAATCTTTATTACACAGGCTGTAGGCTTGGCGGAGTCTTCTACCAAGAACCAGCGAAGAGGGATATTTCCCAGGAAATGCTGAAGTGACAGATTCAGTTCTTAGTAAAACTCCTCAGGTAAACCAGGCTGCAAAAATCCATCCCTACCTGATACTGCTTTTCTGGTTGCCATCAAATCGCATTACATGAGGAATAGACCCTGAGCCCTTTCATATCTTAAGATAGAAGAGGTGAAACGCAGAGGAGGCAAAATTAAAAGGTACTTCTCCTCAAAGGTATAAAATGTGTTTTTAAACTTAGTATTCTCAAAATATGTTTTAATGATTCACTTAGTATTCTCAAAATATGTTTTAATGATTCTTAGTATCTGCAACAATTATTTAAGGTTTAATGTAATTATACATATTCATTTTATCCTTCCTGCCCACCTGCCTCACCTGAAAAAAGGGCATTCTCTTCAGCAAGTCTGCATATCAGATCAGCAACATATAAACTTTGATGGCCAAGTGAGGGATGTGGGCCGAGGTAAGGAGGGGCCATGCTCGGCTCTTGCTGACCCCTCATCCCTGAGGCCTGACAGGCCCATGTCACTGGCTGCACTATTCAGCCAGGGAGAAAGGTCAGTAGCAGGTGAAGAGTGTCCAGTGCCCAGGAACATAGGTGATGAGGGCAGCAATCAATTGAGGGCAGTGGCCCAAGTGAGGAGATTGTGCTGTTTAAGTCCAACAACAGCCATGTCCCTCTGGATGAAGGACATGATAATAGACACACAGGAAACAAAGCCGCAAGTGCTTGAAAACGGGGATTATGTGTACGCGTTGGAGAGACCACTGACATTCTGCTGAATGCAAAAAAATTAACTTAATGGTTTAAAATTTTACTCTTTTGCTATTTTTCTTTCTGTGTTCTTTTAAATCCCTTAGACTATGTTTAGAAAAGCAGGATTAAAAAAAGAGAATGGGAAGACAAAAGGCAGTGATAATAGATACAGAAGATTGATTTGGGTATAAAGTCATTTGATAAAATACATCCATCAGGATATTTAATTAAAAAAAATCATTTAGCTATATACCAGCTATTCCAAAATCTGGTAGCCACAGGCAAGTTTGATTATATAACAAATAAAGCAAGTAAAACTAATTTTGAATATTTTGAAAATAATTAAATGCAAACAATACAGACCAACATTTCAGCACGATGTTTGAATTTGTTCACTTTTTAAAAAATTTCTCTAATTAAAAAGAATGCTAAGGATGGGGTCAATTCACTCCTTACCTGAAGATTGTCCACCTGAACTTGCACAGCTTCTAAAGAGCCAGTGAGCAGACAGAATCGAGAAAGAGAGTATCGGGCTTCCATGAGGCAACTGTTTATCTCATCAAATGCCACTTTATGGTGGCTCCACTGGTCAAGCACGGATTTCAACAGGATCTTGAGTTGGCCAACCTTTCGGAAGAGACAGAGACTTCTTATAATTGCATACTATTTTACATGATAAAATATATATTCCTTTGATGGAAAAGACATTAACACTTAAAAACTTCACTGGGGTTTCAGGCATTGCAAGTAAACTCAAATTAAAAAAATTATACATTAAAAAATAAGTTATAAAATATGTTTTTAAAGTAAAAATGTAGCAATGTTTAAATTCAAGCCTTTCATATGTGCAATCACATAGTTAAATTAAAATGCTTAAAAAGGTTACACATATAACCTTGACCTATAGTATCAGTTCAGTTCAGTTGCTCAGTCCTGTCCAACTCTTTGCAACCGCACGGACTGTGGCACTCAGGCTTCTCTGTCTATCGTCAACTCCTGGAGCTTGCTCAAACTCAAGTCCATTGAGTCAGTGATGCCATCCAACCATCTCATCCAACCTTCTCCTCCTGCCTTCAATCTTACCTAGCATCAGGGTCTTTTCAAATGAGTCAGTTCTTTGCATCAGGTGGCCAAAGTATTAGAGCTTCAGCATCAGTCCTTCCAATGAATATTCAAGACTGATTTCCTTTAGGATTGACTGATTTGATCTCCTTGCAGTCCAAGGGACTCTCAAGTCTTCTCCAACACCATGGTTCAAAAGCATCGATTCTTTGGTGCTCAGCTTTCTTTATGGTCCAACTTTCACATCCATACATGACTATTGGAAAAATGACAGCTTTGACAAGGCAGACCTTTGTTGGCAAAGTAATGTGTCTGCTTTTTAATATGCCGTCTAGGTTGGTCATAGGTTTTCTTCCAAGGAGCTTTTAATTTCATGGCTGCAGTCACCATCTGCAGTGATTTTGGAGCCCAAGAAATAAAGTCTTGTCACTGTTTCCATTGTTTCCAAATCTATTTGCCATGAAATGATGGGCCAGATAACATGATCTTTGTTTTCTGAATGCTGTTTTAAGCCAGCTTTTTCACTCTCCTCTTTCACTTTCATCAAGAGGCTCTTTAGTCCCTCTTCGCTTTCTGCCATAAGGGTGGTCATCTGCATATCTGAGGTTATTGATATTTCTCCCCGCAATCTCGATTCCAGCTTGTGCTTCATCCAGCCCACATTTTCACACGATGTACTCTGCACATAAGGTAAATAAGCAGGGTGACAATGTACAGTCTTGACGTACTCCTTTTTCAATGTGGAACCAGTCTGTTGTTCCATGTCAGGTTCTAACTGTTGCTTCTTGACCTGAATACAGATTTCTCAGGAGGCACGTAAGGTGGTCTGGTATTCCCGTCTCTTAAAGAATTTTCCATAGTTTGTAGAGATCCACACAGTCAAAGGCTTTGGCACAGTCAATAAAGCAGATGGTTTTCTGGAACTCTCTTGCTTTTTCTATGATCCAATGGATGTTGGCAATTTGATCTGTGGTTCCTCTGCCTTTTCTAAATCCAGCTTGAACATCTGGAAGTTCTCAGTTCGTGTATTGTTGAAGCCTTGCTTGATGAATTTTGAGTACTACTTGGCTAGTGTGTGAGATAAGCACAATCGTGCGGTAGTTTGAACATTCTTTGGTTTTGCCTTTCTTTGGTAGTGGAATGAAAACTGACCTTTTCCAGTCCTGTGGCCACTGCTGAGTTTTCCAAATTTGCTGGCATATTGAGTGCAGCACTTTCACAGCATCATCTTTTAGGATTTGAAATAGCTCAACTGGAATTCCATCACCTCCACTAGCTTTGTTCATAGTGATGCTTCCTAAGGCCCACTTGACTTCACATTCCAGGATGCCTGGCTCTAGGTGAGTGAACACACCATCATGGTTATCTGGGTCATAAAGATCTTTTTTGTATAGTTCTTTGGTGTATTCTTGTATAGTTCTCTTAATATCCTCTGCTTCTGTTGGGTCCACACTGTTTTTGTCTTTATCATGCCCATCTTTGCATGAAGTGTTCCCGTGGTATCTCTAATTTTCTTAAAAGAGATCTCTAGTCTTCCCCATTATGTATTGTTTTCCTCTATATCTTTGCAGTGTCACTGAGGAAGGTTTTCTTATCTCTCCTTGCTATTCTTTGGAACTCTGCATTCAGATCGGTGTGTCCTTCCTTTTCTCCTTTGCCTTTCGCTTCTCTTCTTTTCTCAGCTATTTGTAAGGCCTCCTCAGACAACCATTTTACCTTTTTGTATATTTTTTTCGTGGAGATGGTCTTGGTCACCACCTCCTGTCAATGCGACAAACCTCTGTCCATAGTTCTTCAGACACGCTATCAGATCTAATCCCTTGAATCTATTTGTCACTTCCTTCGTATAATTATAAGGGATTTGATTTAGATCACACTTGAATGGTCTAATGGTTTTCCCCACTTTCTTCAATTTGTCTGAATTTTGTAATAAGAAGTTCATGATCTGAGCCTATAATATGTATATATGTATATTTGTATATGTATATATATATTTATGTGTATATATGTATATATTTATATTTATAATATGTATATATCATATATATATGTCACACACACACACACACACATATATATATATATATAAAGTGACAAAAGATCAATATATTTAGTACCACCATTTAGGAAACATATTAACTGAGTGTTTTAAATTCATTAACCCATTTTATCCTGGTAACAACCTTTGAGGTAGATGGGATCTTAACTCATCTTACAGATGAGGAAACTGAGGGATGAAGAGGTGACTTAGATCTAGGTGTTAGCTGCACAGATAGGGACAGAGATTGGATTCCAGTCTATCCTGAAATAGGGCTGACAAGATTGCTGATGGACTAGAGGTGGGTCTGAGAGAAAGAGAAGAATGAAGAACGACTCCAAGGGTTTCAGCCCATGCTCCTGGATGGGTAGAGCTGTCATGAACTGAGATGGCAGAAAGCCTAGGTTTGAGGGGGACTGATGGGAGTTGGTTTGGGCAGGAAGTTTGAGATGTCTACTGGCCATGTGAGTGGAGACGCTGATAGAGGACTTCCTTCTGTGTCTGTCTCTGACTGAGTTTTGGGGAGAAGTTCAACCTGAGTATACACTTTTGAGAACCATCTGTGCCTAAATGGTATCTATAGACCCAGAATAGATAAGATTATTGAGAAAGGAATGCCCATAATAATGTTAATTATAGGAAAAATCTGAAACTAGACTCTTTTTGAAAGGTTAACAAAGTGGACTTAACAGTATAAATACATGCTGTCTACATTCAGCGATTATTTATTCAGTTACTTTACGAAAATCAAAGCCCATGTCACATTCACATTTGGACACAAGATGGTAAGTGCGGTCTTGGAGCCAACTCTCCACAAGCAATATTACCATGTGGTCTAAATTTGCCCAAGTTTGGTTGAGCTCCTGAAGCGTGCTCCTGACAATGCCAGAGACTTCTTCTTTCTTGTTCTGAACCAAAGCAAGTCCATTCTGCTCAATTTTCTCTACCTCTTTCTCTTTTCCTTTAATCAAGTCTTCCAGATCCTGAAAGATGAAGAAATAGTCATTTTAAATTATTCTATTATGGAACTCTGGGGTGCACTGAAATTGAGCCATGATAGTCCCATATCCAAAAAGAACTTTTACTAATTCAAAAAGCTTATTGTTCTCAGGACAGGGTCACCAGAAGGATACTTCTTCCTACATTTAAATTTTTAAAATTCTCCTTTCATTCCATGAGAGGTGAGTGCAACGTAAAATATGCAAAATCTGATTACATAATAAGAAAATGGCAATATGGAATTTTTTTTAAGAAGCTACAATCAAAGAAATATATGTTGGACATGGTAACATGATTTATATCCTTAAATTCATTTATCTTGCTATTGGGAAAGTTTCACAGTCCTAGCCTCTGGAACAAAATGCAAGAGAATGGTGTTCTGGACCCCAGTATCTGAGATTCAGTTCCACTTCTGTGACTATTAAGCTGAGCCACTTTGTGCAAGCGAGAAACTTCCATAGGGTCTCAGTCTCTTCAAATGAAAAAAACCAGTCTCCATTAACCTCTCTTTCTCCCTAAAATACTCTGATTCAAGTGATTCAGAAAGGTTGTATGGGCTTTTTTACATGAGCCAAATCCTCATCTCCTTCAGGATTTGCATTTATAATGGTCAGCATGAAATGTTCGGGCTTTCCTGGTAGCTCAATTGGTAAAGAATCTGCCTACAGTGTAGAAGCCCGCCTGCAATGTAGGAGATCCAGGCTCGATCCCTGGGTCGGGAAGATCCCCTGGAGAAGGAAATGGCAACCCACTCCGGTATTCTTGCCTATGAAATTTCATGAACAGAGGAGCCTGGTGGGCTACAGTCCATGTATTCACAAGAATCGGACACGACTTAGCGACTAAACCATCACCACTTCTACCATGAAATGTTCTAAAAAGAAAATGAGATGATGATATAGAGATCATATTTAACCATAATCCTAACCCATATTTTAAATTCATTAGAAAATTTTGAAAGCACCTTGAGCCAGGTTGAGACTGCTATCAACATTTTATGGATGAACAAGTGAGAGATTTAAGTCATACAACCTGTCTCAGGTCACAGAAGGGCCAGAAGTGGAATCAGAAGAGAAGACTTTTCAGCCTACTGACTCCCAGCCCAGTGCTGAAGGTGGGTCATTGGATAGGAGTCATGGAGAAGGTGTAAACCTATGTTGGGGTGATGTGGGCAGCCCTGGTTATATGATCAAATGCAGAAGTACATCCCCAGAACTAGATGTGCAGGCCTTGGGGCTCAGAGTGAAGAACACTGAAAAATATGTTAAGCCTGGATAATGTCTCAATTCTGTGAAAAAGATTTCCACGTTCCTGTCATGATCCACACATGGATAATGCTATCCGTCTTGGGTGGTGGTATGGGTATGGATAGGGTAACATCCTGGTCTCTGTTTTGGATAAATATATCTATGAAATCCTTTTTTAAGCTGCTAAAAACCAGGCAAATGTAAGAGTATTATTTTGTTTAGCCACTTGGCAATCTGCCTTGCTTCAGTGCAAATTTATTTATTTTTCTCTCCTTAATTATTAGGAAGCTATTTTTGTCTTGATGTATTAATTAGAAGTTCTTGCAGTCAGTAGCCTGAAGAGATAATTTTTATTTTTAATAACTGGTCTTTTATTTATTATTTACAATTTTGCCAGTCTGTTGACAGCTTTGATAATTAACCTGAGAATGAACCTAATGATTAGTAGGGTTACAGGTCCTATATACAGTGAAGAAAACATAATCAACTTTACTATTTAAGGATTTTTTTTCTCTACTTCTCTAAAGGATTATGTAACCAAATAATCCTTCCAACATGTCTTTAGTATTATTCTAAAATTCAACCACTGGAATTAAACTTATTCTCATTTATCCATAGATGTTAGTTTTTTAAGTGAGCAATATTAAATAAATGATCCATTGCTTAGAAACACATCTCAAAAGTGTCCTGCACATTTATGTTGGCATAAAAGCACAACCCAGGAGAGAAACAGGAATGAAATATATATTTTGTGCAAAACAAAGGTATGTTTTCATTTCTCTCCAATAATAATTAAAAGATAATTCTGTTTCTGATCAATGAAGGGAAAAGCCAAAACTAACATTTTTGCTATAATAAATCATTCTTAACTTGGGCTAATTCAGAAATACCAGTTTTTAGGTTGGTTTGAGTTCATAAATTACTCCTGGAAAAGTAAAAAATATCCAAGGCCTTTTAAACAAAATAAAGCTTGAATCCAGTCACCAATGTAAGTATGCTGGATTGAATTCTATACTTTGGTCCAGAGGAACAATTTCTTAAGAATGACAATAAATTTTCACCAAGGTCTGTGGTGCTGTCAAATGGAACCTGCCAGTTAGGCTATCGTAATTTATCTGTGATGCCCCAGAATAACTGTGGGCTACTTTAATTCTGTTGTTCTTTTTTTAAAAAATGACTTTTCATTTGAAATCATGAATTGGCATTGGAGTGAAGTCCTTTCAACCACACATGAAGCTTTCTTTCTGACACTGCCTGGTGTGACCCTCTGGGAGGCTAAAATTTGGGTAGGAAAAGGAGTAAAACTTGGTCAAGTTTCTGCTATATTTTCCATCTAGCAATCTCCTCTCTCTCTCTGTTAAACAGAAGACATTACATAAAAAGAAAATGGAAAATGGCAGAAGAAAAGTACATTAAGGAGAACAAAAAATAGCAAGCAAGAAAAAATAAATGAGAAGGAATAAGGAAAAACAAAGGAAAAGGAAAGCTAAACTATAATTTCAGTCTTTTCATAGTCGAGTTTATTACAACAAGGTCATAAAGAAGCACTCATCTTTCTCATGTTCATTCTGAAATTATGATTTAATTTTAATAAAAACATTTTAATTGAGGAAGTCATTCTTCAAAGTAAAATTCTGAAATTCTGGCTCACTTGTACATTTTAGAATTGATAGCCTAAGTTAGAAACACTACTGGACCCTCGAAAATTGGAAAGGCAATGAGACTAGCCAATGCGTGTTTTTGGTCTTCCATTCTTTTACACAGCCATCTCATTTTGTAGGGAGAGGGGTGTGTGGGGGGTGTGGAGGCAGGCCACAAGGTATGTGTGATTTTCGTTTCTTGACCAGGGATCGAACCAGTCAGGGTCTCCTGCCGTGGAAATACAGAGCCTTAATCATTGAACCACCAAGGAAGTCCCTACACACTCATCTTCTGATGTGAAGTTTTTTTCCCCCCAAACTATCTCTCTGTATGATAGTTTCCTTTGCCATTTTCATGCACCCTTGAAATTGCACTCCATTAGCTTGTCAGCCCAGTACAGAAGCCCGTGCTCTTTTCTGAACCAAAAGGCTTTGATTGAGAGCTTAAATATATCTCTTTACATATACCCTCCAAAGAAAAAACATCGTTTCAAGGGAAGATCATCACCAAAGGCCTTTCTTTTTGAAAGCTGAAATAGAAAAACAGATTTGGGCTAAGGAGCATTTCTGTAGAATTGCTTCATAGTTTAGTCTTCAACTATCCTTAAGAAATTCTACAGAGAACCATCACAGCTAATCTGTAACACATCAATTATTGAATTATTTTTTTAATTACAGCATTAACTGTAATAGCTTACATTTCTTTCATATAAACAAGAACCCCTAAGGAAATATTAAGGAGTCCCAAGTCACTGGAAAATATTTAGTCAGTCCACTCCACCTGAACCAACATCCTTATCACTAACTGTGGAATAAGCAGGAGCTGTCTGGTCTTTCTGATGGGACACAGCAGCGCGGTAACACTGTGCCCTGGGAAGCACTGGCTCACTGGAGTTGAACCAGAATTCAATCAAGCCTCTAATGCTGACTTCCATTTATACAGGAAAGACAGGTGAGAGAAGAGCTTCTTAAAGAAGCGTGCATGTGTGTGTGTGTGTTCAGCTGCTAAAGTCCTACGTGATACTCTGAGCCCAAGGACTGTAGCCTGCCACGCTCCTTTGTCATGGAATTTTCCAAAGCAAGAAAACTGGAGTGGGTTGCCACTTCCTACTCCAGGGGATCTTTCCGACCCATGGATAAAATCCGTGTCTCTTGTGTCTCCTGCCTTGCTTGGCAGGTGGATTCTCTGCCATTGCACTTCCTGGGAAGCCCAAATGACCAGTATGCGGGCTTAGAACCATTCTCTACTTATAAATTCAAATTTATAAAAACAGGTGGAAAAACCCTAATAGGTGGAAAAACATTATAATTCATGTAATCAGAGAAATTTGTTACCAAATGCAGCATTTTTTACTATGTAACTCTCAACTGTCATGACTTGCAAATTTGTTTGGCGTATGCCATCAAACTGTGAAGGGTGCTTGTCCGCCACTCAGACAAGTTACCTGACAGTCTTTCATCGCGTTCTGAACAGAAGCCTGGTCTCCAATGCGATGTTGTTGTTTCAGTCTCTTTTCCTGGGTTTCAAACCACGTTTTCAGACATTGTACGTTATTTTCATATTCTGACCAAGATTCCAATAAGCCTTCCAACAACTGAATCTGAACAAACACAATAAAATGAAATTTGCAATTTTATTTTAGAATCCAATTATTGGCAGATCACTATTTCCCCCAGATTAAGAATTCTTAAAAAAAAAAAAGGTCCATTGTATCTATGATTAAGGATGAATGGAATAAATGTTAAAGAGTGTAAATCAATGACTACTATTGGTAAACAAGTAAATAACTTAAGTCAACTTTGAAGCAAAGGAAAAAGATATTAAGACCTTAAATAAAGGAAAACAATATGAAATTTTCAAAGAGTAGAGAGTATAGAGACAAAATAATAAAGAAGGCTGAAGAACAGTTAAAATGAGAACCTCCAGGATCCATCCCTTCAGTGGTTGAAAAGAGTCAGACGTGACTTTTGCTTTCTTATATTTTACCAGGAGTTGGAAAGCCTTAAGCAAGCTTAAGATGAATATTATCACTTCCATGATTTTTGTCCAAATGGCACAATCTGTGTATATTAATATAATCTATTATTTTCAGAAGTTGAATATATATGTAAATATGCAACAAATGAATATACTGAATATTAATTGATCTTATACATTTCAAATGTATAAATACATTGAACTTAAATTTGTGAAAATTTGAACATATAGATATATTGAGTATAAATATGTGTGTGTGTGTTAGTTGCTTAGTGGTGTCTGACTTTTTGCGACCCCGTGGACTGTAGCCCACCAGGCTCCCCTGTCCATGGAATTCTCCAGGTGAAAATACTGAAGTGGGTTGCCATGCCCTTCTCCAAAGGATATTCCCAACCCAGGGATCAAACCAAGGTCTCCCACATTGCAGACAGATTCTTTACCATCTAGGCCATCAGGGAAAACCTGAGTATAAATATATATATTTTTTAGGAAGAGTAAGTAGAAATGGACAAACTATATAATCCCACTATATAATATATATAAATTATAGTATTTATTTTTATGACTTCTTAAAATGACACAAAGTCTGATTCAAAAATTTGTCCTAATACCGGACAGTGCTCCTATGCCTATAATGAGGGAGGCAGTTTTCTTTACTATTTGGAAACCCATCTGGTCACCATGTATGAAACATACACTTTCAGACCTGATTTCTATAACTTGAGTTTTTGAGTTTCTTCCAATAAAGCAGTCCTAAAATACAAAAATCCAGAAACAAACAAAAATGTTTAGTTACCTTGTATTTCTGAAGGTACTCATGAATTGTCTTGTAACCGATGGAATTTTTAATATTCTCTTCATCCTTTTGAATAACACTTTCCATAAGAGAGATCCAAGTCATGACTTCAGAAATGGCATGGCGAGAAGGCAGTTTATCCATCTGGAGCTGCCCATGTCAGAGAGACAGAATGAGTCACAATATTAAAATTCAAACTGATTTCTGTTAACTTAAAATTTTTTAATTCCTACTATAAGTACCAACAGAACAACACTTCTTAATGACATTTTTGGATATTAACCTAGTTAGAAGTTGGAAATTAAACATCAGGCAAACAGTGAACAGTAATAGTCCTCTTACGTTCACTTGACATCAAATACTATAAACATTGCATAAACACTACCTAATTAATCAAAACACCAGAAAGAAGAAAATATTATTCTTATTTTATAGCTAGTTTTATGAGTATAAAAAAAAGTAACTACAAAACATTCAACAGATGTATTTTATTAATTATCTTGTAAAATCTCTGTGTATTACGACTCAGGAATGTTCAAAAAAGAAAGAAAAATACCACCACACGACAAACTATCATTTTCTAGATTTTTGGCACTCTGATATTTGTTCCGAAGAATATAGCCAATTTCCCCCGTCTTTCACTAAAATATACTTAGAACCCTGAATCTTCCTTAACATATCAAACATTTATGCAAATACTCAGAAGGATTGGGGGGGAACAAAAGCAATCATTTAAAATATTTATGGACTTCCAGGTAGTGCAGAAAGATATAGAAGTCAATGTGAGATGTTTCCTGCCCTCTAGAAATGTTCAGCCGCTGATTAGGAGGGATGAGACATTTATGTGAAATATACCTTTTACACAGTGATGAATGTCAAAGAGAGATACAGATAAAATTGGGAGGTCAAGGCTAAGAAGCATATTTCCAGATAAGGAAACTACTTACTTTTCCTTATTCTATTTGTTGCATATCAGCTGTATTGTAGGTAAGATTATAGGTCTTTTACATATACTACTGGGCTTCCCTTCTGGCTCAGCTGGTAAAGAATCCGCCTGCAATGCAGGAGACCTGGGTTCGATCCCTGTAGAAGGGAATGGCTATCCACTCCAGTATTCTGGCCTGGAGAATTCCATGGACTGTATAGTCCATGGGGTCACAAAGAGTCAGACACGACTGAATGACTTTCACTTTCACATATACTATTATTAGATCTTCATAACTACTTACTTTTTGAGAGAGGCATAGCCACCCTCACTTTATTTATGAGAAAACAAATAATTTAAACATGGACAGACAGGGATTCTAACACACACACAATAAAGAAGCCATTGAAAGACAGGGAATTTGTAGATTGGGCATTTGTAGAACCATTCACTCTTTTCTTTTTTGGGGACGTGGGGCACATTGATTTACAATGTTGTGTTACCTTCTACTGAAAAGCAAAGTGAGTCAGTTATACAGATAACATACATTCACTCTTTTTTAGATTCTTTCCATACAGGTCATTACGGAGTATTGAATAGAGTTCCCTGTGCTATACAGTAGGTTATTATTGGTTATCTCTTTTACGTATAGCAATATCAATATGCAATATAAGGGAAGACATAAAAGACAGGGTGTCCAATACATAGCTGACTTAAATTTGTGAGCAAAAGCAGATAAATGTACTTTTCCATCTAATACCATTGACATCAGTGATGAACAATTAAACTGCTGATTATTTCTATACCTGGTGAAGCTTTTCCTGTATGGCTGGAATATTTGTCAGCAAGTCATTCCACTGACCATCAATGTGGGACAGCTCAGAACGCAAGGCAGCTGTGTCCACTTTCTTTAATCGAAGAAGCTGATTTCCAGTGCTCAGAACAGATGATTTCAGCGTGGACTTGGCATCCACCTCTTTGGAAAACTCCTGGAAGAAGTACCGACAGTCAAATCAGGATTAAGTAGCCAGACCTTACATTTACGGAAAGAGACTAACTTATTACGTAGAGTTTTTTCTTTCCATCTTGAAGGAGAGTGGCGATATTAAGCACTCTAAGGAAAATAAAAGCAACAGACCCTTGCCCTGAATGAAAGCCAACCTCCCTTAGACTCTAAAGAGGCAATGTGGAGGCGTAGTATTTTGCAGAATTATTCAACACACACAGTTAACAATGACAAATTCTCTATAGCTTGATTTACTAAGTACATCCATTGACAGATGATCTTTTTACTGTGTTAAGTCAGGCCTTACCTAAAGGCCTGAAAACAGTCAAACTGAATCAAATACTTTAGATTCTTCAGCTTACCAGAAAAGCATTTAGGTGATCACGGACCATTTCCAGTTCCTGTGGGACTGTTACAGATTGTTGAGCCCAAAATTCTAGCCTGTCTTTTGCAGACTGTAACCAGTGGATTAGATCTGCAGATTCGCTTTGATATCTGTAAGGATAATAATAAGCCTATTAAGTAAACATCCAATCCTGACTTTGTGCTAACCTGTGTTATTCGCCAATGCTAATTTTAAAAGGAGACAGGTCAGGATTTGGGAGAATCATGCCCTGGGCTGACACTCTCCAATTCCCTTCTCTTAATATACATACTTTAAGTAGGTCATTCTCTCTGTGTTTCAGTTTTCCCATCTCTAAGCTGAAAATTAAAAAAAAAAATCTTTCTCCTACTCCTTCACATTGAGGTTACCTACTGAGAAAATATTAGATGATTGTTAAAGTTCTTAGAAACAAAGGTGGCATAAAAACAAGGATATATAAAATATATATATATATTTTTATATATATATATATAAAATATAAAATCAACCTTCCACCTCTTTTGACTACCTTCTACTGCCCTCAAGGCAAACTCTACCTTCTCAAAACACACACTCTCTTCTTTCTCTCCTTTAAGATTTACTGTGACCACCCACGTACATCGATAGGCAGGGGAGATGACAGCTCAAAGGTAAGATGTATTGCATAATGCCTGCCTCCCTCACCCTTTTTTTAAGTACATGTTTATACAATTACGCAAGAATCCAATTGGAAGCTTTGTGTTTGCCTTTCTTCTCCAAACTCTGTGGTATGTTCCTTGAGGGACCACATCTTTTTCAACTCGGAGGCCCAACGGCCTTATAAACACTGCAGCAGTAATTTAAAAATTTGCCAGAAGTGTTACCTGGTCCAGTGTTTCAATATTGTTTCCAATCTGTGAAGTTCCTTAGATACTTTGTTGGTATCATTTAACCAGTGTTCTCCAAGTTGATTTAGCTGGCTTTCCAGATCTGAGCAGCTAACAGATATCAGAAGTCGTTTTCCATCATCTATTACCTGATATAATTTGGGCTGGTATTCATTAAGGCTGGATTTCAAATGCTAAAATGAATGAAAATAATGGGTCAAAGTTTAGATAATGCAATTTTTCACCCTAAAGATTATAATTTCTCCATAATGTTCCCCTTACCCATTAGTCAGATTTCAACTATTTACACTGAAGTTTCTACTTCATGATGTTTCTATATCTAAGTATATAACTTTGGGGGTACTAAAAACTATTAACATAGCATTATTTTAAGAATAGTGTGACACCAACAAAAAAATACAAAGTAATGCTTGGTGGAGGCTGAATATTCAAAAAGAGCTCTCTCTCATTAAACATAAGAAAAACAAAAAGGGTTTTTTGATGCTCTATCATAAAACAACCATCTGTAATTATTTCGAGACAGTGAGACTTCAGCATAACAAGTGGAAAACACTTGCTGGAGGCTACATTTTCAAAAGGGGCTCTCATTTAAAAAAAGAAAAAGACCTTTTTATGTTCTATTATGAAACAAACACTGAAAATGAAGGTACTTAACAAAATATTTGATTGCAAGTTTGAGTAAATCTGTTGAAACCATGGGAAAGCTTGGCAACTTCTTTACAGCACGCCGTCGCCTGGACGCTGACCTGGTAGAGTGTGATCCGGTCGATGAGCCTGTCTTCGCTCTCCTCCACCAAACCCACGCTTGGGGTGCTGCTCTCCACCACCTCCAGCTGCCGGCTAAGCTCCCAGTGCTCCTTATCCAGTTGGGACCATGTCTAGAAACGCGACATCAGTGTGTGAGCTGAAGAGCCTTATTAAGGAAAGGCATCCTTCCTGTGTGCACACACACACGCCTCACGGAGCCCTTAAAAGACATGTCAGTGGTGCCTGCTTTGGGGCTTTGCCCTGGGAAGCAAAAGATGGCTTTGCAGGAAGTCGTCAGAAAGTCACCCTGAAAAGCACTGTGCATGGATCTCACATCTGCAGCTAAGTAGCCGTATAAGACCTGGGCAAATTACCGCCCGTCTCTGAACCTCACTTTCAACATTAAAAGAAATGGTGATGATACTAACAGTCTTGTCCATTGTGAGGCTTAAAGAGAATAATATATGCAGCACATCTGAACGCAGTGGGCATCTGAAATGCACAGTTTCATCCATCCTCACAGTGAGGATGAACGAACGACTTAAGTGAAAGGAACCGAGGCTTGTTAACTTCCCAGAGTAAGTGAACTAAATACTTCACATTTGCAGATAAAAAACCGACACAGACAGTTAAGAAATATGAATATACAGTATAGACAGTCTATTAAGAAGAAATTTCAAATCACTTATTCTAAAATTATTCTTTTATTTAAAATTGGAAAATCTTTTTTTTTAATCATGTGAAGTCTTCTTCAAAAATTTATATCAAAGACAAGTCTATGGAGACGGTAAATATCACCGTGCCCATTCTGGAATCAGTCTTCATCTGACTGCACTCACAGAAAGGCACAGCCTTTACCTAGATGGAAACCAGGGGCACACACAACACGTGATGCAGGAGACAAATGGCAGGAATGAAGGCGTCGCGCCTGCCGGGGCTGCCGTGCAGCCGGAGCGTGCCGAGGGGAGGGTCTCACCTCGAGGATGTACTCCAGCTCCACACCCCTCTTGTGGGCCCCTTTGAGCACGGCCGAAGCCTGCGCCATCAGGTCTGCGTGGAACTGAGTTTCCCGTGGGACTGCAAAGCTGATGATCTTCCTGAAGAGGGTTTCGGTCAAGATCATGTGAGACTCCAGACCCTGAAAGTATTCCTGCAATTTTTCAGAGAGAAAGGGGTCAGCAACTCATGCGTTTACTACCTAACGATAAAAACCGCTTCAAAGCGGCTGGAGCTCAGCTAATCCCTGGGCAACAGCAGTCCTGCCCCGCTGGCCTCCACTCACCCGGCGCCCACAGCCTTGTGCAGGGACGGGGGGCTCCAGGCTCCTCAACGGCCTCTCCTGGCCCCTCACTCACAGCACCTACATGACGCTGAGCTGCAGGCACTCTGGCCCCCAGACAGAACCCATCACACACGAGCAGCTGTGATAAAAATCTCACCCGCCCTCTCAGCTCCGCATCCCGGCACCACCCGGGTGGACACTCGCTTCCGCCACCACACAGCCCGGCCTCCCCTGTCCCTGGGACACAGCGGCGCCTATCCCCCACCTTCAGCCTCTGCTCACGCTCCGCATCCTGCAGTGCCCTCCCCGACAATGCCCGATTTTCCTTCCTCGGGGGTGGGGCTGGAGCTCTGTTCGTTTGAATTCTCAGAGCATCTGTTGTACTTCATACTCAACGTCAAGCCTAACTGGACACACACTGATTGGCATAAAAATATATTTAAATTTTCCTCATAAAGTGCCTACACGCAGTAGAACTGTAGGCCTTGCACAGCCCTACAAATGCGTTTCAAAATGTTACTTTCTATACGGAAGTGGCCCCAGAGGATGCATGCTAAGCTACTTCAGTCATGTCCAACTGTGACGCTAACCGTAGCCCACCAGGCTCCTCTGTCCATGGGATTCTCCAGGCAAGAATACTGGAGTGGATTTCCATGCCCTCCTCCAGGGGATCTTCCCGACCCAGAGATCAAACTCACATCTCGTGTCTCCTGCACTGGCAGGCGAGTTCTTTGCCACGAGTGCCACGTGGGAAGCTCCCCCAGAGGATGGGAGAGGACTATCCCATTTCCTGTTCCCTGCACCATGGATGGAACTATGACTGGGAATTGACGACATCAGCTAACGCTGAGTGTACTATGTGCTGGACACTATAAACCCTCCAGTGACTAACTTGTTGAATCCTTATCACAGCCCTAAGAGGCAGGTAGTTTTATTTCCCATTTTACAGACTCTGAGCCACTCACGCAGAGCTCTCCCTCAGAAAATGGTCTGGTCATAGAAGAACGAAAACCATTATTTTTAATGGACAGTTATGATATCATAGAATCTCCAAGTTGGAAGAGAACCTGGAGGTCACTTAGCCCAACATTCGCAGAAAGCTGATACTTGTTTCACAACTCCATCTCCCCCGACAGCCTTGGACAGACTTCTGGCCAGGAGGGCTGTCTGTTTAATGGCAGTCTATCCTTTTAGAGTTCTTCATCTATTGAGCTTTATTTCTTTGTTATTTATACTCATTGATCCCAATTTCCCCTCTGGAATAACTCAGGATGATATTTTACTGCTATGGTCAAAGATTTGAGAAAAACCAGCTGTTGACTTTAAAGCAATGTTTTCAAAGCCAAATGATAAGGCTTTAATAAATCACAAAGTTTTGGACAAAAACCTCTGGGAAAAATAGCAAGAAGTAAAGTTCTCTGTGCCCTGCCCCCCACCCCCAACCCAAATCTACCTTTATAAGTCACTAAAGAGCTACACAAAGGTAGAAGGTTAACCATCAATGAAAGTGAAGTGAAAGTGAAGTCGCCCAGTCGTGTCCGACTCTTTGCGACCCCGTGAACTGTAGCCCACCAGGCTCATCCGTCCATGGGATTCTCCAGGCAAGAACACTAGAGTGGGTTGCCATTTCCTTCTCCAGGGGATCTTCCTGACCCAGGGATCAAACCCAGGTCTCCCGCATTGCAGGCAGATGCTTTAACTTCTGAGCCACCAGGGAAGCCCTAACCATCTATAATCCAAGGGAATTTTTAAAGTTTCCCTATAAGAAATTTCCACCGTCTGGGAAGTTGAGTCTTTCAGGTGGCAAACCTTTATTTTTGTAATGTTACTAACAAGGCAATTTGTGTTTCTGAATTAAACAGGCATTCCAAGGACAGAGAAGCCTGGCAGTCTATGGTCCATGGGGTCGCAAAGAGTTGGATATGACTGAGCACACACGCATACTAAGCATCCTTTACGAAGGGAACAGGGTCTAACCTGAAACTGGTTATTGTACATACTGGTGGAACAATCTCAGGTCTACCAAGTTGGGTCATGTAGTAAAAGCACTTGTCGTCCCCAGGAGAAAACTCTTGAGGACTATGGCAACCAGAAGAGCACATGTTTAAGGACATTTTCTGTTTTTTGTTTTTTTTTAACCTTATGTTTGTCAAGTAGTTGTTGGATTTCCTCTTTGGAAGACACGATAATTTTCTGGTCTCCTGCCGTCTTCTCTTGTCCGGTTTCCAGTAGGTCGGCCAGATCCTGTAAGGCTCTTTCGTACTGACTCTTGAGGGCAAGATTCTGATTCAGCCCACTCCGCCGGGAGCCAATGGTCATCATGAGTTCCTCATACATGTCCTAAGAAACAGATAAAACTCATGCTCAATTCAAACTCACTCTACACGGGGTATGTCTGACACCTGTCCTCACAGAATGTCAATAGTTGATGGAGGTTTAAAATGCTGAAAAGCTGTTCTTGCAGCTAAAGGACATGTCATGGAGAATGAAGTTCTAATTTTTATCACACTCCCAAATTTCCTAATTTTGGAGTAACTGAATAGAGTATCCTCAACATTGGGTCTGCTCAAGTAATAATCAGATCTGAGGCTATTCCTTAAATAAAAAGCTACATAAACAGAGCAGTTTCATGTGAGCAGACTTTAAAACTTAAAAAGGCAATCTTTTTTGGTGTTTTTTGTGCCAAATGTGGTGGAGTAAATAAATAACTATTTAAACTGGAAAGACATTTTAGCGGACGATGATACACCAAAAACAAAATTTATTTGAGCCATATGGACTTGATTAATGTATCATATTAAGGTTGAGTACGCCAAAATGGCTCAATCTGGAAAAGTTCAACTTTAATGCCTATTTACAGCTATGACGCCTGACTCTTACACCTGACATTTGAGTGCTGTCGAAAAACTATCTCAAAAGGACAGAGTGGGGGCCGTGGGCTCATCACATTATGAAATCTTAGATAATGGAATGAGACAGTAGAAATAAAAATGTTCTTTTAAAATAAGAGGTTATTTTATTTTCTCAAAAGAATTTGTGACCCTATATTGGACTCAACAGTGCAAACTAATACATGCACATTTTTTTCTTAATATAAATTATCTGTGTTATCAGATGCTACACTTCATAGGCTTTACTATCTCATTATCTTCCTACCAACCTGATACCAGCTATCTGCCTAGGTGCCAGATTTAAAAACACCAATCAAAAGTGTTATTCTCTTCTCCTGGAAGATGCTGGGGAAGTCGGTTTGGCTACGTTCTAGCTTAATTTTTTGTTATTCTGGAATTGAAACAATGTCTCTTTTCCATTCAACCATGTATGAAACATAAACTACAATTTTGAACACTCGAAAAAATACACTTTCTAAAAGGTATCAGCTTAAGTATTTTTTCCTTAAAACGTTTTTTGGGCTATAGTATAATACAGGGTTTTCTAGGTATCTAATAAGATTGGCAATTAATAAATTTTCTGGAGTAGAAAGCGATAGGCCACAAATAAATTAAACCATAATGCTTAATCATCAGAATAATAATAATGCAAAAAAAACCTTAGAAGCATAAGTCTACAAGAAAATATAAGAAAAGACCTAAAGATTTGACACAAAGTTCTCCAACAAATAGCCCACACAGACTACCCTTCAGTAAATCTCAAAATGTGTCCATTTATTTTATTATACTAAATATTAATATGATAAATGTTTTAAAAAATGTTCTAAGAGTTACTTGGGAAAAAATTAGGTCCTAAATGACGTAATTTTACAGAAAACCTGGACAAAATGGAGAAAATATATATTTCTTTTTTCTTGACTTCCAATGAGGATGTACCATTGAAGCTGAATGCCATTAGTAGAAAACTGTACCTGGAGTTTGGAGAGTTCTTGCATGGAAGGCTGCTCAATCTGCAACTTGTCAGCACGCCTTTTTAACTCAATGATTCCCGCATCTAATTCCTTTAGCCCATCTTCAGCCTGCTGTATTGCCTGTGGAGGATTTATTACTTGTCATTAAAGCTCCAATAAACAATTTCCCATGCACAATATGATTATCATGGCTTCTTACTTGTTCCTCCCTTCTCCACCTAAAACATTTTCCAAGCAACATAAAAATGATGGTCCTCTATTATCTAGAAAAGGGAAGAAAGCCCTTTATTATACTTTAGGTCAGATATTTTAAAGGTAAGGAGGTTGGAAAGGCTTAGCATGGAGGCTTGGGAGAACAATGGCTTCCTTGAACAAATAAGGAAATGGTGAACAGCAACCGGAAAAAGAACCATGATTTTAAGACAAAGTTAGAAAAGGGCATCTGCCTAAGATGTTCTAGGGGGTCATGTTCTGCTTTTCTGAAATGCAGTTCTGAGCATCGTTGGAGAGAGATTCAGTGAGGAAAGGGAAAACCACATTACAGCATGATCAGGGAGGGCTTACTCATTGCAAAGCAGAAGGACAAGCGATAAAGCATGATGGTGACCGCTAGGGCCGAGCCTCGTCTCCCCAGGGGCTACTGAAGCAGGACAAGACCTCAACCTGGCCTTCAAGGAGCTTCCAGTCTGCTCAGGAAGGGGAGTAAAGAGAAGAAAATGAAACAAGGCTGAATATAGTTAGGTACTAAACTTGCTTCTGCTCCTCCCTGTGAGAGGACTTGGGAGCAGGCAGTGAATTCTGGAACAGTCGGAGAAAACTTTTGGAAGACCAGAAACCTCAGCAGCCTTTGAAGGAGGAGAAGAACACGGACTCCAGATGGCAGATAAAACACATGTGTCCTATTTTCTCCCTCCTGTGTCGCCAACATTTTGTTTGCTTGTTTTCTGGTGTGCCCCCCCCCCCCCAATAAATCTACAAGGGCAAGGAAACAGGAAAGAAGATGATACCAAGAGAAGTTTGCAAGCTGAAAATCAGAAGGATACACGGGAATTGACTTAGGGAATCTGAGAAAGCTGAATTCTAAGCTGGCAGGGGTTCTTCATCACCAGATTAAAGCAACAGGAATCCCGGGAACTCTGGGAAATGCCGGATGAGCAATTACTGCAGTTCGAGGGTTGGGGGAAAGATGCTTGAAGAATACTCAGATTCTCAGACGCTCTTCCTCACCCCGCAAGGGCTCTCTCCATTTTCTGAAGAAGGTATTGGATTGCCCAAAAAAATCTGTTCAGGTATTTCCATTACAATGCACTTTTTGGCCAACCCAATAAGACAGATGATAGTCTCTGGACTGAGGGGCACCAGAGGCTTGAGTCCTTGACTGCAAACAAGGGGAGAAAGTGACCAAATACCCAATGATTGCTGAATGTGGAGCTCCTGAATCTCCCAGAGTGCTGAAGCCTTGTCCCTATTTGCCAGACAGAAGTGGGTGGGTGGGAGAAAATGAAAAGATCTAAAAAAAATGACACAAGAATTCTCCAACTCATGACCCACATAGATCATCCTTCAATAAATCTCAAAATCATCAAGCCTCATCCATTCGTGAAGTTCCCATTCAGCTGATTAGTCCCTCATTCTAAATGTGAAGAGACAGCATGTCCATGTATCCTAGAAAAGTCTCTAACATGAAAGATAAAAACTAAAATAAGCAAACAAATAAAAGTAACCTTGAGGGAAATAGATTATGCAGGAAAAACAAACAAACAAAAACCTTTAAGTCTCCCCAAATACCTTCAACTTCCAAATCATTAATTTACCTAGAGAGATTACAGAAGACAATGCATCTGTTTTAAAAAGGACACAATATTTGGAGAACCAAAAGGAGCTCTAAGAAGATTAAATGCATGAGAGTAGAAATGAAAAAGTCAATAGAAAAGTTTGGAGCTGAAACTCAGAAAGTCTTCCGAAAGCAGAACAAAAAAACAGAGAGAAATGTCCCTTGATAAGAAAGTTAGAAGACTGGACCAGAACATCCAACATCTGCCTAAAAGGAGTTTCAGAAAGGGAGACAGATAAAACAGAAGGATGCAAAATATTTCAATACTCTCATAAAATGTTCCAGAATGGAAGGATGAAGTTGCCACATCAAAAGAGCCCAATGAGTTCTCAGTCCAGAGGATAAAACAGACTCTCTCCAAGGCATGTCATCATGAAATTTCAGAACACTGAGACCTTTGGGAATTAGAACAATTTTACATTCCTCAAGCCAACACTGGAAGCTAGAAAACAATATAGGAGAAGCCTCAAAACTATAAAAAGAGTCCACCAAGAATTCTATAAAGAGTCAAGTTATCAATAGATTGTGAGTATAGTACTAGAGACTATACACTTTGAGACATGGAAAATACTGAAAAATATATCTAGCGTGCATCCATTATTAGTAAGGATGTACACTGACAAAACAAGGAAGCAAGACAATAAAGAGAAAGATGTGGTTTGGACTCAGAGAAGACAAGACCCTACAGAAGGGAGAGGTGAAGGGGATTCCCAGAATGATAGTAAAAGGGAGATCCCAGGAGACAGTTGTGCACCAGGGTTATGACACAGGTCTGCTCTAGGTCAGAATGACATGATTCAGAATATGAACATATCCCCTTGCCTTTTGCCACTGTTACCTCCTCAACCCAAGGAGGGTAGGAATGGAATTAGCACTTTTTATAGTTATAAAATAATAATCCATTTCAGTTATTCAATGAAATAATTGAGTAATTTTTACCTTTGAAATTTACATTGGTTATGTTGGCCAATAGTGAAAGTGTTACTTGTAATGATACCTATCCTAAATTTCACATTAGAAATTCAAAGCAAAGCATTCTTTGGGCTGCTCAAATTTTGTTTACGATCAGGTAACATTACAAGCCAAAAAACAAAAATTAAGGTCCTTTCAAGTAGGAGCTATGACATGGAAGAATTATTTTTCAATTTGGGAAAAATGAGGGATCTCTTTTAAAAAAAACAGGTAAAATTATGGTAAAGAAAGATACATATTCAGATCTAATTTTGCAAACTATTTTAGATGGTGAAAGAGAAAAAGAGATCTCCTATAGAGAAATATTTGGGGTGATTTCTATGGTATGTATGTAATGATAGTAAGATCACAATTATTACTATTCACTTTTATTACTATTTTATTACTATTCACAATTATTACACAATCACTTATTACTAACTACTGACTGATATAACCAATGTAAATTCCAAAGATAAAAATAAATTACTTGATTATTTAATTGAACAAATGGTGATTTCTATTTCAGGGGATTTCTTAGGGCCTACCCATAGAACCATTAGCAGTCTACTAAAATTAAGGTATGCAACTCTATCAAAACACACATTTTCATAATGACTTAGCTCGGGAAATGGGATATTCTTTGTAGCATCCTTGCCATTTCTCATCTCCTCCCTGTTTCACTGCCACTATGATAGTGTGAATTCTTATTCCTTCTCCCCAGAGCAGTCATGGGAGGCCTCAGGATGGATACCCTGCTTCCTGACCCTGGAGCTGCCACGCCAACCACGGAGAAGCAAGAGGTGACACTGACCCTCATCCTCAGCCTCAAACATCCAGAGTGACTTTCTGCTCCCAGTGGTCTCTGAGGTGAGGGTAAGTACTCAGAAGTGAACAAGAAGGTCTGTGAGAGTGAAACACTATGGCTTTCATTTATATTCAACCACATGCATTTTAAATGATCATTTGCATGTATACTTTATGACACAGTACTTGCTTATAATTTATAAATAAGTAAACATACATACATTGTGGTATGTGCCTATTGTTTTTACCAACAAAGCATGAAATCAATAAAGCTGACCACTCATTTGTAGAACAAGTCCCAATTTTCTGACATTCAGTTGGTTCCACAGGTTGCCTCAAATTTTCTCTTCCATCCTTACTTCCCCTCAATCACTTTGGTTCATTGTTAAGTTAGCCAAACAGGATTACTTGCTTTTCTCCCAAAGTGTCCTGAATGATCTAATATTTATGCCTTTGTTTTTCTTCTGTTCTTTGCTAGAATATCTTTCTTCCCTATTTCTGTGTGTCCAAACTTCTAAGGCTAGTTTGAATTNTACTTCCCCTCAATCACTTTGGTTCATTGTTAAGTTAGCCAAACAGGATTACTTGCTTTTCTCCCAAAGTGTCCTGAATGATCTAATATTTATGCCTTTGTTTTTCTTCTGTTCTTTGCTAGAATATCTTTCTTCCCTATTTCTGTGTGTCCAAACTTCTAAGGCTGGTTTGAATTTCCCTTTACAAAATCTCTCCCTGATCCTACTGCTGCTGGGGGTAGTCTACCCATCTTCTAAACATCCATAGGGCTTCATCTGTACCACTACCAGGATGGTCTGACTGCCTGTCAAATGTCATTGAGGTCCACGTCTAATCTCACACGCCTTCAGGTTAGCATCTGTCACTGACACTTTTTCCTCTCTCACATGTCCTGGTTACACAGAAGTAAGTGTCAGAGTCAGTGTAATCTGATGTAAACCTGGCACTTAAAAACAAGACAGATGACAAACAAAAAATGCTATAGCAAGTCATTAATATTTCATAGGCTATATGGAATTTCATAGTAAACCAGATATACTCATTGTGCTTGCTCTTATGGAAAAAGGGCAGCCGTAAATACCTCTATTTGCTCTGCCACAGGTTGTTCAAACATTTTCGCCAGCTTCTGCAGAATGATGTATTTGTGGTCAGCCAGTGATGTAACTAGCACTTTCAGATCATTCTAAGGAGGAAAGCAATAGGAAGACTTAATATGAGTAACAGGAAACTTAAAATGGTTATAAATATAACACACAGTCTCAGAAATAATATATAGCTGTAGGAATTGAATTGTTTCCAGAAGAAACAATATTATTTTATGGGAAGATAAAAGGAACTGGTAACAATTTATACAAGCGCTAAAACTGACTTTTGAAGAATTTATTATACAAAGCATTTCCAACTCAACACAGATGAAGGAGACAAAGTTTACAAATAAAAAGCAATATTGGTCACTTTAATCTTCTTGTTATTTCTGTAATAAATGAGCACATTTAAACAGAAATATGGCAGCAGAAGCGTTGCACTAAAGACTTCTACATGTAGATGTTTTCTTGTTTGGGGGAAAAATATTATTCTTAAGAATATATATGATCCCTTGTTTCCTTTTTCCTCTCCTTCCCTCTCTGCCCTCACTTCCTTCTTCCTCCTATTTTCAAAGAATTTGCACAAGCCTATAAAAACCACCCAAAAGTTTAGAAAATATGCATTATTCACAGTGACCAAAGACATATGAAAAGACAACACAAAAAGCTCTTAGCTAAGCCTATTCATAAACATTACTCATTTAAATGTCCAAATATACTTATCTTGAGTTAACTTTGTACAGAAAGGAGGTAACTATCAGAATTTTGATACTCAGTTCTAAAAGGAATAATAAACTGGAACAAAATATAAATTATAAATTTTTATATTTTTCTCCTGAAATATCAACAAATATGCTTTATTTTTTTATTAGTTAGAAATGTCTCTGATGGTCTGGTTGCTCATCATAGTGTGAAGTTCAGCTCATCACATTCTCTTTACTGGGAACTGATCGCATGTGCATATGTCACCAAGATGCAAAAATTCTGTCTCAGGATAATCACACCAAGGAAGAAAGTTTTTAAGGATACGTGGAAGCATTACGAAATAAAATGCAAGGCTAAAGCAAATTAGTAGGTGAATTATGCAGTTTAAAATTTAAAAAAAGAAAGAAAGAAAAGAAACAGCACTGAACATGAAATTTAGAGAAAAGCATCCTATTCTAAGAGGCAATAATTGTCCCAAAGTGAAAGTCGCTCAGTGTCAGACTCTTTGTGACCCCATGGACAATACAGTCCATGGAATTCTCCAGGCCAGAATACTGGAGTGAGTAGCCTTTTCCTTCTCCAGGGGATCTTCCCAACCCAGGAACTGAACCCAGGTTTCCCGCATTGCAGGCGGATTCTTTACCAGCTGAGCCACAAGGGAAGCCCATGAATACTGGAGTGGGTAGCCTATCCCTTCTCCAATGGATCTTCCCAACCCAGGAATCGAACTGGGGTCTCATGCATTGAAGGCAGATGAGCTATCAGGGAAGCCCAAACCAATACTCAAGCCTGTCTGCAAGCCTGGCTGCAGACTAAATGACAAATTGCAACAACAGCACAGGAGAAAGTCTGCAGAAACAAGCGTTCTGCTTATGAGTGATGATAATGCTTGTCACTCAGCTGTGCTGAGGGCCGTTAGAACCGTAACACAGTGATCTGTCTACACGCACAAGAAAAGATGCTCTTATTCACTTGAACAGATTCAAAAGAAATCAAGTTCCTGTTATCTACATGCATTTAGAAAAACAGTTCAGTTAATCTAAATGAGAAGATAAGTACAGATAACATGAGTTAAGAAATGAAGAGGGTGTGTGTATTATCTGCACATCAATTTCACATTTTTAAGAGCACATTTTCTGTCTTTCTAACATATTCTCCTCCAGGTAATAGAGAAGAAAGTTCACATTTCCGGAAGCTGCAATAATCACTAGAAGAGATTAGCCAAGAAGACAGTAAAGCAGAGAACAGGACGGATTTTAAAGTTACTAAATAAAAGACTTTATTTTATCTTATTTATTTATTTTTTGGCCATGCTATGTGGTATGTGGGATGTTAGTTCCCTGAACCCCTGAACCCATGCCTGCTGCATTGGGAGCCTGGACTCACTGGATCACCAAGGAAGTCTCTAAATAAAAGACTTTAAGAGAAGGAAATGGCTACCCACTCCAGTATTCTTGCCTGGGGAATGCTATAGACAAAGGAGCCAGAAGGGCTACAGTTGATGGGGTTGCAAAGAGTCAGACATGAATTAGTGACTAATCAACAACAAATTGTATGGCTAGAATAGTTTGATCATAAGCATATTAGATTTAAAATTTGAAAAATAATTTGTGTTAAATACAAAATAATTATTTACAAAAATAAAAGACTTTAAGAGGTGCTTATAGCTACATGGATGTTCATATTTTATTAAAAATAAAAATCCAAAGGCTTTAAGCATCTCTTAATACCACACTCTCGATGTGCGTTCAGTTGCTCAGTCATGTCCGACTCTTTGCGGCCCCATGGACTAAGCCTGCAAGTCTCCTCTTTCCATGGAATTTTCCAGACAAGAATACTGGAATGGGTTGCCATTTCCTATGCCAAGGGATCTTCCTGACCCAGGGAGCAAACCCGGTCTCCTGCATCTCCTGCATTGGTAGTGGGATTCTTTGCCACGGGGCCACCTGGGAAGCCCTACAATCGTGATATAGCAGGTAATTGAGGTATCTATATACTACACATATAATAGACATCACAATCGCTTTCTTACAGTTACTGGAATTACTTGGGGAGCATGAAAGGGCAGGCTTCTAGCTGTCTAAAAAACAGGTCCAAAGAAAGTCTTGAATTTTAAAATCATTTGTGCTGCCTTGATCATTTAATAAGAAATTCTTTCATTTTTTTTCCTTTTTAAATAACTTGAAATAATTATAAAAGTGTCCAGAAAATGTATTTTGGTTTAAATCTATAAAAAAGCTTTTAAAATGCAGAAGAGGTGATAAGTAACTTGTGATTACATGTAGACAACATATATCTACATAACACCTACCCATTCTTCCAGATTGTCTGTTGGGTATAAGGTAATATTAGCAGTCTTGCAAAAGCTAATGCTCCAAAGTTAACTGGAAAATCAAGGCTACAGTTCCAATAAGCACTGAACAGTGAAAGTATATCAGGTGCTCAGTGCAAAGTAAAACAACATGACTTGTGACGGGTCTTCTGGCTTCCCATGCGGCTCAATGGTAAAGAATCTGCCTGCCAATTAAGGCGACGTGGGCTCAGTCCTCAAATTGGGAAGATCCTCTGGAGAAGGAAACAGCAACCCACTCCAATATTCTTGCCTGGAAAATTCCATGGACTGAGGAGCTATAGTCCATGGGGTCTCAGAGTTAGACATGACTTAACGGCTAAGCACGCACACACAACTTGACTTTAATTATATTAACATTGGAAGTCTTTCTCCCAATTAAATTGGAGCACAAACGTTTTGAAATGCCAAGGTTTGTTTGTGAGCTGGCCACCAACAAGTAGAAACTTGTTGGCAGAAGAAAAATAGAGAACATGAGTGAAACAGAATTTCAAGATGACTTGTTCTCTTGCTCCTCTACTCAAAATAAGTTCCAGAGTATTCACACTTAGTTCAATTTTTACTCTGTGATTACCAGGATCTATTTAAAAGTACCAAAGACACTAGCATAGTGAACGCAACTTGAAAAAGGGAAGCATGGACTCTAGGGATATGCCCATTTGCACTTCTAACCCACCTCAGATATGGCCAATAGACTAGAAAGCTGTTAAAACTTAGTGAGTTCTTTTATGCAAGAGGAATTTTAGAGTAATGAAACAAGTTTCTATAAGTTGCAAAACAGTTTCGCTGATTTTAGACATACACTGTGTACCTGTACATGCAATCAGATCTTGCATTCAAAACAAAGTACTTAAATAATCAATGCCAGGTTTTCAGATTCCAAGGGAAATGTTCCTTCCTCTCTGTGTACTATACAACACAAGGGATACAAATGCAATGATCCAATGTAGGTCATTTTTCTAAGCCACAGATCTGAGACTATTCACCTGAGTATCTTCATTCTACCTGATAGGGTTGCCTCAGCAGTGGTCCTGCCAGAAACCCAGTCCTGCCCAGTGGTCAACCGCACTGCTCCCACGTGTCCTCACTGTTGGCCAGATGCTCATGTCAGAGTCACTGGAGCTCCCCAGTTGCCCCCCTTGCCCATGTTCCCCAGATCCAAACCATCAACGAGTGCTCCCCCACTGGTCCTGCTTTCCAAATATACCTTGACTAGGTTTTCTCTTCTCCATCTCCCTTGCCATCACCCTGACAATATAAAATACACGAATAATCTTTGAGTCAAATCCTGGCTTTAGTTCTCCATGGTTAGATAAACTTGGAGAAATATATAACTTTTTCATTGGTTTCAAACCTATATCTAGTATCCTAAGTACTACTATTAACAGCAACATAGTAATAAAACATGCTAAGTGTTTACTATGGTTCAGATACTATGCTAGTATTTGACACATTTTAACTCATTTTATCCACACAAAGCCCTAAAAGGCAGTTAATATGGACATGACTTAATAGTTGAGGACACTTAAGTCAGAGAAGGAGCTAAGGTCATACTGCAGCAGATGATAAAGCTATCATACTATTTTCATCTCAAAAATACACATGAAAATTTTTTGTGACTATTTATGTGATACATAAATGTTTACAAAAATTTATAGATTTAAGAAAGTAAACTACAGGAAGGCAGTGATAATTTGTCCCTCTAGATGAATATCTAGAAAATTCCAGTTCCTGGCTAATGGTACCTTTGCTTGACATTATATAGTACTTTTTTCCTGAAAATCAAAATTTAACATCAACTGCTTGGTTCTAATTACATGTATTACATGAATCTATTTTATAAATCTTCCATGTTTGCTAAAAATAAAGTTCAATTAAATCTTGAGTATTAATTAAACCTTGAGAATCAATTAAACCCTGAGTAATAAGGAATTAAGATGTTTTTTATTAGAAATGAAAATCAACCCTAAAGTTGATCTGTGGCTTTTGCATTTGTTGAAGTTCGTAGTCATAAGAAAATTCACTTAAGCACACAATTATTCAGTTGGCAGTGAAACGCCAGTCTTGGGCTGAAAGACAGTAAGTCTATGGAGTGAAGACTAGTAAGTAACAAAATTCATTTTTAACACAGACAGAAGTGATCAGGTCATGGTCACTTTCAGTGGCCCCCACCGGTATTACGTGTCCAGGGTTGATTCTGTGTTACAGCACTTCCTGTATGCTTCTTTGGTCTTATAAGATGGTTGGATAGCATCACCAACTCTATGGACATGAGTTTGAATAAGCTCTGGGAGTTGGTGATGGACCAGGAAGCCTGGCGTGCTGCAGTCCATGGGGTCGCAAAGAGTCAGACATGACTAAGCGACTGAACTGAAAAGAACTGAATACCAACTAGAAATTATCGCTATAATGTGCCAGAAATATGGCTTTTACTGGTTGAATTTAAAGTTCTATTCAGTCCTTAGTCTGACTGGCTGGTTTCCTCAATGAAAAGCATAAAACTTTTTGTTTTCTATTCCTCAAAGTCAATCTCTTTGTTTTTCTGTAATGTTCATGCATTCTATACCTTTGTAAAAAGTAGGTCTAGATCATATCTCAGTAAGATCCTGTTTATTGTTGAATGTAGCTGGAAGATGATGAAATACCTCTTAATGCCTTACCTGGAAATTTAATATCTGTTGAAGTCTTTCCTTCATCTGATGACATCGCTGATTTACTACTGAGTCTAGCAAAGATAACCTGCCCAAGAGACAACCCAAAGTGTCTTCAATAACATCTCGGTTATCACCGTTCTCCGGAAAGGCTTGGGAAAACAAGTTCTTGTTCTTATCCATTTCTTCAGACATTTCCTTAATATCTTTGGCAAGAGTCTGGGATTGATAAGAAAGGGCATGTCAATATTTAGATCTATGAATTTACATATGAGTCATTTCCTCAAAGAAAGCCCACTATATTTCTCTTACTGTTCAGTGATAATTATATTCAAGGCCACCTGGACCACTTTCATACACTTCCATAAACATTAGGCAAGTTACTGCTGGAGAGATTTTTCTCAGAAACTTTATATCATTCACTAATAATAATATATAATATTAATATTTGGTGAAAACATGAGTTTTCTAAAGTGCTACTTAGAAACTCATTATTTTTAGTCTGTTTTTCAAATATATTTATATATATATTTCATATATTTCTATATCATAGATTCATGATATAGAACCAGGCTTCTACAGACTCTTCAGTGTTTTCTGCCTCCTACATACACAAGAAAAAGCATAAAAATTCAAAGCCTATGAGGGAGGGGATGTGTATATAATTATGACTGATTTGCATTGTTGTCAGGCAAAAACCAATAAAACATTGTAAAAAATTTTAATTATAAATCAAGAAACAAAAATACAAAAACTAAGTATCTTTCCGAGCTTGTTCTATGTAGGCAATTCTTTTCTGCTCTATGCTGCTTGGAAATACACATTTGTAAATTATTAGAACTGTTTTATGCTTGACCTTCTTTATACATAACATTAATTATCCAATGTCAGCATTTCAAGTGCTTTGTGATGTACCCTCACAGACACAAGCTGCCAAACTCACCTCTTGGTTGAAGATGCAAGTTTCCGTCTCTTCTGGTAAAAGGGCTGTGGCAACAAATAACCGTTCCTCTACATCATCCAGCCAGGTAGAGGTGGCCGAGACCCCATCATACAACTTCTGTTCCAAGTCAATGTTCTGCTTCTTCGTCCCTCCACCCTGAGAAACAGAAGGGAAGGACAGAGAAGTCATGACAGTGTTTTGAAGAGTCAAAGAAAGATACCAGGATGAGATGCTGGGGTCCAGAGACTCTGCCTCTCCGGTCTCAACAGCTCAGCTCAGGGGATGGGGCAACCTCACGGGGTCCCAGATCCACAGACCAAGCACACAGCCCCACCTGGGATGAAACCTCCTCGAAGACCTGGTTCAATCCATCCAGCAAAGACGTCACCGCAGACTTATCCTGGGCCTGCCCGTCCCCTTTGTACAGTGGCACGCCAGAGAGGAGCCGATTTGGCCTGCTGTACAGCTGGAGGCAGACAGGAGAGCTTCTTTAGGACCAGATGTACCCTGTCCAGGGTTCTCATTTAGACACGCACACTGAAATAGATGCTGGAACAACTGTTTATGGAAACCTCTGCTAGAGAAAGATGACCTGTAACATACCATGTCCACTAAACATGCAACCAGATTCAGCAGTGGCAATGTTTCCTGTGATGGACCAAAAAAGTAAAGAAAGCAGTGGGGAAAATGCCTGAATTCTCATTACAGCTTTCCTCTCAACTTATCTTGGGTTTAACACTTGTTGTTTTAGTCGATCAGTTGTGTCCAACTCTTTTGCAACCCCATGGACAGGAGCCCGCCTGACTCTGGGCAAGAAGACTGGAGTGGGTTGCCATTCTCTTCTCCAAGGGATCTTCTCTACCCAGGGATGGAACCCAGGTCTGTTGCATTGGCAGGTGGGTTCTTTAGTGCTGAGGCACCTGGGAAGCCCTGATTTTAACACTACTCATGATAACTAGCAGAGAAGGCAATGGCACCCCACTCCAGTACTCTTGCCTGGGAAATCTCACGGACGGAGGAGCCTGGTAGGCTACCGTCCATGGGGTCACCAAGAGTCAGATACGACTGAGCAACTTCACTTTCCCTTTTCACTTTCATGCATTGGAGAAAGAAATGGCACCCCATTCCAGTGTTCTTGCCTGGAGAATCCCAGGGACCGAGGAGCCTGGTGGGCTGCTGTCTATGGGGTTGCACAGAGTCGGACACCACTGACATGACTTAGCAGCAGCAGTAGCATGATAACTAGGGGCTTTCCAGGCGGCACTAGTGGTTAAAAAAACCCATTTGCCAGTACAGGCAGACGTAAGAGACTGGGCTCAATCCCTGTGTCAGGAAGATCGCCTGGAGGGGAGCATGGCAACCCACTCCAGTGTTCTTGCCTGGAGAATTCCATGGACAGAGGAGCCTGGCGGGCTACAGTCCATAGGGTCGCAAACACTCAGACACAACTGAAGCGACTCAGCATGCACGCACGCACGCACGCACGCATGATAAAAGAATCCACCCGAAATACCATAATTAGATTGACCCCTTGGCTCTCATGATTCCTTTCCTTCCCCCCTAAACTCTAGGTGGCTTCTCTGGTGGCTCAGACGATCCCTGGGTTGGGAAGATCCCCTAGAGAAGGGAATGACTATCCATTCCAGCATCTTTGCCAGGATAATCCCATGGACAGAGGAACGTGGGGGGGTACAGTCCTTGGGGTCACAAAGAGTTGGACATGACTGAAGCGAAAGAGTGTAATGTCTCCCCAGTAAGGACCGTGCTATGACCTAGCACTCAAACTCTTAAATGATGTTTCCAATCAAACTCAGGGCCCTGTAGTTTTTTAGATCATCTCATCCTCATCTTTCTTTTTAGCTTGATTACTCATTATCCTCTAAACACACCAGCTTCATTCCCTGCCGTGGCTGGAATGCCCACCACCCAATATCTCTCTGTAATCCACTGTCTTAAATTCCACACCGATCCTACCTAGCTGCTTTCCACTTTTTAATAAATTTTGCTTCCTTTTTAATTCCTGCTTATGGAGTCTCCCTGGCTGCTTAATTTTTCAGAAACGGAGAACACATCTTCTTAGTTGTGTTACAGGTACCTAGGAGCAGGAAGTCATATCTCATCCTGAGGCCAGGTGGGGTGTTCTGCACAGAGATGCTAAATGCAGTGAAGGTGAACAAAGAAACACTGCTCTGAGAGAGAGAGATGCCTTTCAACCTAGTCTACATGAGGTAAAAAAAAAAGTAAATAAATAAAAGTGCCTACTTTTACAATTGAGAATGGTAGTATATCCACTACCATCCAGTGTACAAACTGTCAGTAAGGTAATGTGAAAAAGGAGGAACTTTGGAGTTAAACACACCTGTGTCCCCACCCCAGATGTGTCTCTTCTTAGTCATGAGACCGTGAGGAATTTTCTAATCTCCCCAAGCTTTGGGTGCATGGGTGGTTCAGTGGTAGAATTCTTGCCTGCCATGCAGGAGGCCCAGTCTCACTTCCTGGCCCATGCAGCCACAGGGTCCCCTTGTTTTATTCTGGGCTTCCCATTTGGCGCTAGTGGTAAAAAACCTGTCTCCCCATGCAGGAGACAGGGGTTGGATTCCGGGGTCCATAAGATCGCCTAGAGGAGGACACAGCAATCCACTCCAGGGTTCTTGCCTGGAAAAATCCCATGTGCAGAGGAGCCTGGTGGGTTACAGTCCATGGGGTCACAAAGAGTCGGATACGGCAGAGTGACTACCACTTTCACTTTCACTTGACTTAGAAAAATCAGAAAAGGCTGCAGTCCCTGATGCAGGACTGTAGATATTTCTCATAAACGAATGAAAGGGGAAATCCTACAGTATGCATAGCGCTGTAAAGTCCAGGAGAACTGTATCAGAAACCAGGAACTCATGCCGTGAGTCTGAGCAATGTTTGATCACAGGTGTGAAGAAGCATTCTTCCAAAGAGAGGTAGGAAGTCCATGCAAAAGGTTCAGGGTCCATGTGCCAGATGGAGGCTGTCTCCAGGACAACGGCCTCTGGAAAGGGAGGGCTTCCCCAGGACCAGAGCTGGTGACATTCCTGTGAAGGTGTTAGTCGCTCAGTCATGTCTGACTCCTTGTGACCCCATGGACTGTAGCCCATCAGATTCCTCTGTACATGGAATTCTCTAGGCAAGACATTCTTGTGGATGGTAACAAAGAAGATTCCTGGACAGGGGGTGAGAAGGTATGAAATGCCCAAAATTTTGTAAAAGGAAACAGAAATGAATGGCTCTGTAGGATTTAGAGTTCCCAGTAGATGTGGGGGGACACATTCTGACCTTTAGACTGGCCCCCTGCAGGTAATTAGGGCAAGGTGTACCTGTCCGAGTTCCTGCTTCATCACCTCCTGCCTTCCCCTCCTCTGGTGCTCTGTAACTATTGATACCCTTTCTCTCCACAGGTCAGTCTCTCCCAGCTCCTAAGCTAATCCTGGCCAGATCAGTGACAACAGCAGCTCCCCAGATCGTTCAGTAAAGGTCCTAGAATGTACTCTGATGATGCTACCACTGGGGAGTGGCCAGAGTAGAGCTGACCCAGGATCTGGGACAGGCTTCTATCTTCACTATGCTACTGCACCACCGCTGTGGTGAGCATCATGGCCTTCCTCTGTTAGATCTTTAAGGGGTGGATTCCTCTGACTCTGTTGTTCTCTGGCTTCTGCTTAGGGTGAACTAATAGCTGTTATCTATATGGAACCTTTTGTTGCTATACTTAATTCCACTGGATTTGGCTTGCTTGGTGGAATCAAGTCCAACATCACACAAGGACCCGCCCATCTTAGGAACTGGCCTATAGAGGGGTCGGTGACCACTGTAACTGACTCTGAATTCCCCTTCCTTTAGCTCCACTGAGGTCCCAGTATGTTTCCCATTAAGATCTTCTGAAATGATTAAATACTGGAAGTAGCAATGGAAAATAATATATCATGATAATTTACCGACAGATACATAGCATTTCTTTTGGCCTGGATGTGTATATCCTTAATTTTCAAAGCTGTGGGAAACAAAAGTGGGGGGTCAGGGTGGGGGGACAGCATTTATATTTAATGGTTTTTGCTAATGAGTCATCAGATATTAATCTTTTCTGAGGAGAACAGTATCTAGCAGTCACATAAATTTCCATATATAAATATATAATTATAAAGGGATATGTGAAACAGGCTTGTTAAGAGAGTGTAGGATGAGTCATTTGTTTTCTTATTTTGGAATTGATAATGAAATATGGATTGCTGCACATTTATATTCGTTCCCATAGCATAAGCTGTAAATCTTCTACATTAGTTAATATGTAAAAGCAAAATGTTCAGTACCACTTGCTCTTGTTCCTGCTCCAGAACATTCTGAAGTAGTTTCTGCTTGGTGCTAAATTCCTGATGTAGGCTTTCCCATTTCATTCTCATCTGGTCTTCAGCAGGTGATTTCTCCCCTTCCATCCCCAACTCCTGGGATAACACATCAGGTTTTTCGCTATTAGAGGAATAAATAATCTAAGTTTACAATGTGCATAAAAAGGCAATAAGTCCTAGGTAATTTATTACGTGCACTAGATCTGGCCTCTACAATTGGAATCAGATTATCTCAGTCATTGGCTTACACTTTAAAAATATAAATTAAAATAGAAAACTTGAGACAAATAGTAAAACAAGTATTTTCTTACTGATCTTAAAATTGAACCATGAGGACAATAACTTAAAAAAAAAAAACCCTGAAAATAGCTCAGCATTAAAGATAAAAATAATTGTAACTTTTAGAATCAGAAAGCATATGATCAGAGTGGTAGCCTTTGGCAAAGAGTCCACAAATTAAAAAACCCTAACAATACTGCCTAGTCTATTGAGAGTTTTAACCCTGAGTCTAAAGAAAATACTACAGACCGGGTTTCAGAACATGGAAGAGGAGCACAGAAGGTGGAAGGAAGACACGGCAGTATCATCTTAAAGAGGCAGCAGTGTGACCTCTGAGACGACTACGGCTTTGGAGGTGAGACAGATCAGGGTTCCATTACAGAACGTTAGATCTGTGACTTGGAGCAATTTGCTTCATTTCTCAGAGCCTCAACTTTCTCATCTTTAAAATGAAGACTGTACTTACTGTGCAGAAGTATTTGGAGTATTTCTCCAAGTAATTTGGAGAAGAGACGAGTAACACCTCTGACCCCATCTGATAAAAATACAGCCACTAAATCAGTGGGGCCTAACACTGATGGTAATGGCAATGATAAGAACCTGGGAGACTCTTGCTCCAATAGGTCCTAGTTTGTATTCAGGGGTTTTGAAGTCCTAACTATAACCATGTCATCCAAAAGCCATGTTATGCTAGAGTAATTGTTATTTTGATGGAAACTTTTGATCAAGTGAAGGAAAAAAAATAAAAACTTTATTGGCAGAATATTATACACTACCCCAAAGCCGACGCATTTCAGAATAAGTATTGAATACAATGGTTTTTTCAAGTAAGTTTGTTGAAGAAAGCCTTAAAAAATGATCTATTAGGTTCTGATGCAAGAGTTCTATTTCTAGGACATATCTTAGAGAATCTTTTTCACCTGGACACCTAAAGACATGTGAGAAAGTTAAGTTCAACAGTACTAGTAAGGACTTCCCTGGCAGTCCAGTGTTTAAGACTCTGTGCTTTTACTACAGGCAGTGCAGGCTCCATCCCTGGCGGGAACTAAGGTCCAACATGTCACAGGGCATGATCAAAAATTAAAATAAAAAAATGCCAGGGAAAGCCAAAAAAAAAAAAAGGCAACAGTGTAAAGGCCCATCAAGAAGAAAAGTTGTTATTATCACAAGATAAAATACTCTCAAGCAGTTAAAATGAAAACACTAGATCTATATGTATCAATATGCATTGATCTAAAAAAGTGATACTAAGTTAAAAAATGATAAGCTAAATGATGATGAAGCTGAAACTCCAATACTTTGGCCACCTCATGCGAAGAGTTGACTCATTGGAAAAGACCCTGATGCTGGGAGAGATTGAGGGCAGGAGGAGAAGGGGACGACAGAGGATGAGATGGCTGGATGGCATCACCGACTTGATGGGCATGAGTTTGAGTAAACTCTGGGAGTTGGTGATGGACAGGGAGGCCTGGTGTGCTGCGATTCATGGGGTTGCAAAGAGTCAAGACACGACTGAGCGACTGAACTGAAGTTAAAAAATAAAACTGATACTTCTAATTTTGTTGGTTATGTCAGTCTCTGGATTTTCTGCTTTTTAAAAATCTTTTAAAATAAAAAAAAACGCTTTAAAATTCTCCTGAAATTAGGGCTTCCCTGGTGGCTCAGTGGTAAAGGATCTGCCTGCCAATGCAGGAGACGGGGGTTCAATCCCTGGTCTGGGAAGATCCAACATGCCACGCGCTAACTCAGCCCATGGACCAAATAAGCCCATGAGCCACAACTATGGCCCCAGTGCTCTAAGCCCAGGAACCACAGGAGAAGCCACTGCAGTGAGAAGCCTGTGCACAGACACTAGACAGCAGCCCCTGCTTGCTGCAACTAGAGAAAAGGCAGAGACCCATCACAGCCAAAAACAAAGAAGTAAATAAAAATTATTTTCAAAAATTCTTCTGAAGTTATATTTCTTTATCGTGTTCTTTTGAGATGGTGGACTATCATAACACTTTTAATTCATTCATTTTTATATAACAATTTAGTGTATGCAACCAGAGGATATTTAATATCTCTATAGTCTTATATTTAATCACTGACACATAAAATGCCACCAGTAGATCAGTCTTAATTTAGAATACAGCTTTTCTTTTCCCATAGAAAATATTCTTCCTTCCCTTTGATATTTATATTGATTCATTTCCAGTTGAATTTCCTTAGTAATCTTGGGAGGACCCCTTCAATTCTCCAGTACGTCACAAAGTACTTCTTTATTCAATGGATTTGTAATCATGAAGCAAGTCACATCCCTCCCAAAGGGATTTTTCCATAAACCAATTCACAGGTGATAGTCTTAGAAAATCAGCGAATACGTTGAAGGCTGAATATATACTTTTTCCCCACAAACGTCATTCTGTTCTTTTAAAAATATATACATGTTTTTCTTTCAGCTTCTGGATATTATTCAGGTTTGTTTGTTTGCTTGGTATATTTACCCAAGGCTTGAAAGGCATGACTGAACAGTAATCAACCAGATTTAAATATTTTTCTAAAGAATTTGCATAAAAATTAAATAATTTATAAGCAGTCTTTAGACTAAATCTTACACAGAAAGCCAGTACTGAACCGCAGATTTCTCTTTAAAATAGTCTTAGATTTGAAAGAGCAATTTATAGTTGTTTGTCTTTCATCTGGGCCCTTTCCAAAGCTAAAGGCCAAGGAAAGGAAAAAAAAAATATGGCAAGAAAGCTGCAGAAGGTCCTTACAGCTGCTTTTCATAACTCTATGTATGATGAGGAAGCAACGTGTGGACGGGTTCTTTGTAAAAATAGAGTTTGGCAAAAATATTCAGAAAACCATGAGGGATGAGTAAACATCTTAGAAGAACCAGAAAAAGAAAATGCAAAGTGGCAGCAAGTCTCAACTTAGTCACCATGGGAGAGGCAGAGCTCCTCACTGTAAATTTACACAGATACATGTTATGGTCTTATCGGCATTTCTAAGCACGACCATAACAGAAGAATTTTAAAACTCCATTATATTTTAAGACAATTTTTACATTATTAGGGTTATTTTTATGGAGTTCCTGATTACAGATGTTATAATCTTACTCTGGAGAAGGCAATGGCAACCCACTCCAGTACTCTTGCCTGGAAAATCCCATGGATGGAAGAGTCTGGTGGGCTGCAGTCCATGGGGTCTCAAAGAGTCCAACACGACTGAGCAACTTTACTTTCACGTTTCACTTTCATGCATTGGAGAAGGAAATGGCAACCCACTCCAGTGTTCTTGCCTGGAGAATTCCAGGGACGGCGGAGCCTGGTGGGCTGCCGTCTATAGGGTCGCACAGAGTTGGACATGACTGAAGCGACTTAGCAGCAGCAGCATAATCTTATTCATCTCTATTCTTTTAAATTGATTATCTATTAGCTGTTATCAGTATTCTTTATTCCTTTTTCCCCCTTGAATATCTTCCTATTTCCTAGATGTATATACATATATAGTCAACACTTTTGTCATATGTCAGCAACATTATGTCAGCATTAATTAAATTAAAAAAAAAAAAAAAGGGAAAGAAAACTCTCCAAGCTGACTTTACTAAAGTTACTTTTGATCATCTACATCTAGTCTGGGTCTTACTCATACATATACTTTATACTCAATTTTATATCACATTTTTTACTTGATATCACAAACTGTTATTGATATTGTTACAAAATTTTTGTTAAGATTATATAGGCAAAAATATTTTCTTAGACTTTCTTTTTTCTTTTTTTACTAATAGGTATTTCTGTCTTTTTATATGGTATTATAAACAGTATTTCCAAAATCATCTTTATAATATACATTTCCTCCAAACTAATGCTCAGAACTGAGAACACTGGAGCCCATGGGATTAAAGCTATTTGAAACATGTTGGTTGTCAAAGGATGCTACTGCTGAATTTCAACCTTGAATATTGCATGAACATAACACAGAGGTTTTGCTGATGTTTTAGATTTTAAAGATAGTTCTCCTATGTATCTTTTCGATTGACATTCACAGTGTTCACAACCCTTCTATGATGATGGCTGTCAATTATTAGTCTCATTCTACTGGTGAGCAAACGAAGTCTCAGGGTTGAGTTCCTTTTCCAAGGTGACAGATGCAGAACCAGAATAAAACCCAGACCTGCCTCACGATACAGGGACACTTCCCCTCTGCTTCAGTGTCTTTGCCTTCCTATCTTTTAAACCAGACTCTTCAACTTGAAAATTCTCCACTTTCTTTAAATTTTCTTTCAACACTTTACTTTCCTGAGTGTAAGACTTTCAGTTTCTACTCCAAACCAGGACTCAAAGTTCAATGACTTTATATATAGAAATCGTAGAAATAAATCATCAAGAAAAGTTCCCTGGTGGTCCAGTGGAAAGGACTCCAGGCTTTCACTGCAGTAGTCCCAGTTTCAATCCCTGGTTGGGAAACTAACATCCCACAAGCCTCACAGTGCAGTCAAATTTAAAAAAAAAAGTCAAGATACTTACAAGACACACACATTTATTTTTCAGAATGATATTAGAAGAAGACAGATAAGCTCTTGTAAGGGAAATGTTTTCCAGATAGATAAGATCATTCAGTCATAAGTATCATGTATCTAATTTTATAATGCATTTATTATTTGATTTTCAAAAATGTATTAAATAAGCACTGTCCCTGGACAGATATGCTAAGCATACTAGAAAGAGGAAAAGGAAGTTAGCCATTGTAATTACTAGTTATACTTATGCTGCTCAACTAAACATTCAAAATACAAGTAGATTTAATATCATAAAGTAAAAATGAAATAATTAAATTTTTGCAAAAGATATTCAAAATAAAAATTTAAGGGAGATGTTTACTTTTATTTATTCATTTTTAAATTTTTGTCCACAGGGCATGTGAGATCTGAGTTCCCTGACCAGGGATCGAACTCAGGCCCTTGGAAGTGAGAGCTCGGAGTCCTAACCACTGGACCATTTTTCAAATGTCAGGACAACAGCAATAAGAAGAGAACAATAGACTGTCATCAGAGAAATATAAAGCAAAACCACAGTGAGGCATCACCTCACACCTGTCAGGAGGGCTGTCATCAAAAAGATCATAAATAGCAAATGTTGGTGAGGATGTGGAGAAAAGAGAATCATGGACACTGTTTGTGGGAATGTAAATTAGTGTAGCCACTATGGAAAACAATATGGAGATTTCTCAAAAAGCTAAAAAACAGAAATGCAATAGATTCAGCAATTCCATATATTTGGAGAAAATAAATAATTCAAAAATATACATGCACCCCAATGTTCAGATAATGCAACCTATGTCCATCAAGAGATGAATAGTTAGAGAAGACGTGATATGTGTACACACACACACACACACACACACACACGGAAAATTATTCAGCCATAAAAAAGAATGAAAAAATTTTCTATTTGCAGCAATACAGGTAAGACTTGGAGGGTATTATGCTTAGTGAAATAAGTCAGACAGAGAAAGACAAATACTGTATGATATCACTTAAATGTGGAATCTAAAAAATAAAACAAAATGGTGAATTAAAAACAAAAAACCCCCAAAGAACAAAAGAAACATACCCAACACCACCAGAGGTCTCTGCAGCTGAGTGCTGTGTTAGAATTTCCTCTCCAAGGCTGGCTACTGACTGGAGGAGGCTCTTCTGCTCTGCCAATTCCTGTTCCAACTCCTGCTCAAGGAAAAGGAAAAATAAAAACATCTTTGTTACTTTATGATTATTGTCTCCAACCACAGTTTTATGTCTAGAAAATCCTCAGAGAACTTTGGTACAATAGTATGTTTTTAAGTTAGCACATTACATAAAAGCTGTGGCTTAGGTAACGTTCAGAGGTGTGTCCAAGTCCTCTGTAGCTTTCTTTGGCTTTGATAAAATAATGTCTAAATAATCTTGGTGGGGGTTAGGAAATGAGAAAAGAAAACTTTGCTTGGCAATGGCGCCCCCAAGTGGTCCAAAATGCACTTTAACTTTTCAAGATCGATACTGCCTTGTTCAAGCTGAAAGAGACATGAGAGCAACAGCTCTCTTCAATTTCCCACTTGCTTGATAAACTGGATCACCAACTGAACTCTGTTTTACTTTTTCACTATTACTATTGGTGAAAAAGTCTCTACTCTTGGAGAAATATTTTAATATGCCCTATCCATAAACTGAAGGTATTAATGAGATGTCATTCTTTGAGCAATCAAAGCTCATTTGCTTCATAGGCAGTAATTTGTAATCCTGTTTTGTGATGGCATCTACTTGAGAGTTGAAAGCAAATTTCATAAGAAAGTGCAACTTAGATATTTACCAATTCTCAGAGGCCTTCCTGAGGCTATTATTATATATAATAGACTCAAATTGGGGCAAGCTAGAAATAGAGGGCAGATTATAATTCAGTTACACTATTTTAAAACTAAGCAGAAGCTTTTCTTAGAGAACCAACTTTAAAATGACCAGTCTTCCCGGTGGTCAAAAGTAAATGGAAACAGCCAGGTTCTGCTTCAGTCCAAAATAAAGATAAAGGGGCACTCTGTCTTCAGCACAGAAGGAACTTGTCTTTCTAAAACATTTCTCTCAAGGTGCATGCTTGGCTGATCTGCAGGCGAAAGAAGCAGGAAGTGCGTTACTTTTTGTTGCTGGAGGCTGCTCTGTCGCTGGTGGGTCCACGCGCTCCGAGCTTGAGCTAGCCATTCCTGAACCCCGGGGCTCTGAGTGGCAGCCAGGTCAGCATCGCTGTCCTCCTTCTCCTGGGCTGTCCCCTGCTTTTAACGAGGGAGAAATCAAGAGTCATACTACCCACAGGAAGACCTTAACCAAAACAGTGATGGCTCCTTTAGTGTGGTCTGAATAATAAAACCAAAGTGACTCCATTTGGACGTGAAACCACATTAAAAAAAAAAAAATGGTACCACAAAACCCATGGAATTTATTATGGCATTTGCAGGAAACAGAACAATAAATAGATGATTATACTCAGAAATATTAAGGGGGTCGGGGGAACTGCCATGTTGCGGCTAGGCTTTTTAGCTGACTGATGTGGTTAGCAGACATTATTCTGGAATTTCTTCAACAAGAATATAACTCTAGGTCTTCCTCCCTTTCCTGTCCCCACCAGGACTAGATTCCACTGCCATCTGTTGCCACTCTGGCTTCGACAGAGTGTGGCTAAAGGAGAAAGCCAAAGTAATTCCCTATTACCTGGGCAGGGGTTTATTATTCCTGCTAGACTATTCCAATGGAATTTAAGAGGTCCTAAAATACTGTGTGGGATTCCCTGGTGGCTCAGTGATAAAGAATCTGCCTGCCAATGCAAGAGACGCAGGAGACATGGGATCAATCCCTAGGTCAGGCAGATCCCCTAGAAAAGGAGATGGTGACCCACTCCAGTATTCTTGCCTGGACAGTCTCATGAACGCAGGAGCCTGGCGGGCTACAGTCCATAAGTTGCAAAAGAGTCAGACAGGACTAAACAGCAAACAGAATATTTTGTATTAGAATGGAATTAGTTCTGAATGAGCACCTTTCTACTAAAATGTATTTATATGCCAAAGGATAAATTCCACCATGTTGGTAAGATGCCTCTCAGCATCCACTGTGTGTCAGGCACTGTTGAGGGCACTGGCGGGAATTGGAGGGGATTTATTTGGCTCAGAAGCCAGACAAAGGCACTGCTGGGATGACAGACAACAAACAGACAAGATAAACTGGGATGGTGATAAGACTTGCAAAGAATGTGAAACTAGAGAATAGGCTGGCAAGTAAAGGGGGAGGGTTTCTTAGTCTGGGTAGCAAGGCGTCTTCAGAGGGGACAGCTTGTGAGTTGCGAGATGAGGGCGTCCCTGATGACTAAGATGGTAAAGAATCTGCTTGCAGTGCAGGAGACCCGGGTTCAATTCTTGGGTTGGGAAATCCCCTGGAGGAGGGCATGGCAACCCACTCCAGTGCTCTTCCCTGGAGAATTCCAAGGATAGAGGAGTCTGGCGGGTTACAGTCCATAGGGGTCGCAAAGAATCAGACATGATTGAGCAATTAACACTGATACTGCCTGGCTAAATGATGGGCTGGGGGCCTCTAGGCCTGTGGAACCACTGGAGCAAAGGCCAGAGGGGAAAGAAACTTGGTGTCTCAGAGACTGCAGCGGAGGGGCAAGCATGACTGAAGCATGCGGAGGGGCCGGGGGCAGGCACATAGGAAGGGAACATTCTTTGGGGTGCTTCCATGGAGGAGCCATCCTACTGAACTGCTGCCCCCCTGGCCTCTGTTCTCTGCCAAACCTGACCTCAGAGTGGGGTCCAGCTACAACAGCTCACCCCACCTGACTGCCAATAGGACCCTTCCCTTCCTTTTCTTTCCAGAATTTTACACTAACTCTTACAGGGAAGTAGATGGGGTCTGTTTCCCTCTGTCTTGCTTGTTAGAATCTTATGGTTAAACTAAAATGTTTGAGATCATTTGATACCAGCACCTGAGATGCGGTGAAGGCAACAGCGAAACCTACAGGTAGCGTCCGTGTTTATACATCATCCTTTCCTGGATTCTGAACCACCTCAGCTCACAGGCGCCTTCTTTCCTTGAAGATGATCCAGCTCACCAGTAAAAGCATGTGCTTGAGATAGAACAGTGGTAGCGCCGTTGGTCTAAAACATGCTACCTGCATTTTGCAGGATCTTCAGAACAGATGACTGGAGTTCAATAGGTTCCCCACCCTCCCAGGAGTGCCTCTTTCAGGCAAGCAGTGATTTTCCTGAAGGTGGGAGGTTTGGGGTGGCCGTGCATTCCTCCAGGACCAAAGCCCACACTTTTCTGCATGAAGCAGAGTTTTCCCATCTGAGGATGTTCCATTGACCCAGAATAAGCTCTAAGATATCCTGGCTTTTCCAGGCAAGGAAGAAACAGAAAGTCAAAAGGGATCTGTAGAGAATGACCCCAAAGAAGTCAGTGGGACAAGTTGAAAGCTGTCCCCAGGCAGAGACCCAGTGACAAACAGTGGCCATAGCCGTGACCTGCTGACTCTCTTTGATGAATTCCCGCCACTTCCTCTCCGTCCTTCTTCAGAAAAGGTTTGCTTTCACAGCCCAGCCTGGAGACTCCTGGAAACTTCTCAGGGCTCCAGTTCACCCTTCTCTGCAGGTTAACTACAGTTGACTGAGAGCTCTGATTTCAAATTCCTCACACCAACGAAAGAGACCAATTGTACTTGGGAAAATAACAATTGAAATGCCAGGTCTACAGGGCGGTTTAACCACATTTACATGCACAGACACATACTTAGATTCTAAAACAAAAGCTAAGAAAGGGACTCCTATTTGACTAACTGAATCCATGGCTTTAGAAAAAAGGATATTTATCAGCATCAAAAGCACATGACTAGTATGTATTTTCTCTGTGGTTAGGTTTGGTTTCTCAGTTAATAAATTTTTCTCTGGCTGATTTCACAGTTTTCAAACATAACCTTTGGACCATAGGAAGCAAAAAATGATTAAGGAACAGTTCAAATTTCATTCCCTTTCCCCCCCCGAGATACAAAGGTACTGACCTAAGGCATAAAATTAACATTAATTACACGCTCTGAGGTCTGATAACAGTTTTCTGACCTATCTAGGGAATAGGAAATAAGATGGCTTTTATTCTCCAACAGGCTCCTGCTTGGGTGGGGCTATGTAAGCTGTTTATTTTGGAAATACTAGAAGAGTAACCATTTTTGCCAGGAACATTCCTTGGAAGATTAGTGAGGATTGGAGAATGCTAACATTAAATAAAACACTTCTTTAGAAAGCATTTTATTATTTATATAGGATGAACTCTCTCCTCCTTGGATGAATGATAATGTGTGAAAATGACAAACTAATTACAAAGAAAGATATCACGTAATTCAAGAGGTATTATATGCCTGTGTCATAGAGAAGGACGACAGAGATTGAGATGGTTGGATGGCATCACCGACTTGACGGACGTGAGTTTGAGCAAGCTCTGGGAGTTGGTGATGCACTGACGTGGAAGCCTGACGTGCTGCAGTCCTTGGGGTCGCAAAGAGTTGGATTGAGCGACTGAACTGATAGAGAAGTAAACAATTTTGGGGCGGGGTGAAGGGGATCCTGGAGTGGATTATTCACTGGTAGGCGGCATTCATATGTATGTGTGTGCTCAGTCACTTTGGCATATCTGACTCTTTGTGACCCCATGGACTGTAGCCTGCCAGGCTCCTCTGCCCATAGCATTTTCCAAGCAAGGATACTGCAATGGGTAGCCACTTCCTACTGCATGGGATCTTCTCAACCCAGGGATCAAACCTGCAACTCTTGGGTCTCCTGCATTGGCAGGTAGATTCTGCCACTGCCACCGGGGAAGCCCCTTATTCCAGGTTTATCTGGTATCATTTTGGCACATTTCAAAAACATACAGTTAGTATTTTAATTGAGAATAACTTACATTTATGTTTTAATAGAGGAAAATTTGAAATCGACTGTCTAAAAACAAAATCTATATATTTCCACTTGTTTTGGTATCACTCAGGTTTTAAAGTGTTGAGATTTCATATATTTTATATTTTGTTCATGTTTTAGATGGAAATGTGTTGCATATTATTTCTCTTTTAATTTATATATAGGAAAGTTATGAATTCTATTTTAATTTTTTAATAATTTTTTTTTACTAAATTCTTCCATTGCTTTTAATAGTTTTCTGTTGACTAGGTTTGATGTTCCAGATCATATAATCATATACTTAGCAAAGAACTGAAAATACATAGTTTAGTCAGAAAAAAATCATCACACTGAGAAAGTAGAAGCAATCGCAGTGAATGTGCATTAAGCTCCCACCACGGTATTTGTGCCGTGTCTCCTGCCAGCATCTCTACTCAAGTACAGTCTTTCCCCTCCCTCCTGACACTGGTTCCAAGACCATTCCCCTGCCCCTTGGATCTGATTTTCTCCCTTCTACAGAAAAAAGCTTTTGCTGCAGTCTCACTTCTTTTTCATCAATTTTTCCTCTACTGAGCTGTTTCTGTCTCCCTGTAAACATGACATTATTCTTCCGATCTTAATATGGAATGAATTTCTTCTAACCTGCTTCTTATAGCTTATTCCATTCCTCTGCTCCCATGACAGTGAAACTCCTGTTTCCTGCCCTCTTCCTCTCTATCTCCATTCTCGCTTTCATCTTAGAGTGATTTTTGCCTTCACTATTTCACTGAAATAGTTGTAGTTGGGGTCATAGAAGACCTGCGTGTTGCCAGATCCACAGTCAGTTCTCAGTTCTCATCTTACCTCATTTGCCCTCACGCGTCTCCCAGAAACCCAAATCTTGGTCTTTTCCCACTTCACTGGTGTTTCCTTTTTACTCTTTTTTTCGGGGTTCCTCTACATCTTCCTAACTTTTCACACTGGAGTGGCCAAGGGCTTGGTCTTCTTCATCTCTCTTCACTCCCTTGGTGATCTCATGGGGTCTCATGCATTTAAAGACCATCTAAGGACTTCCCTTCAGTCCAGTGGTTAAGACCCGGAGCTCCCAATGCAGGGGTGTGAGTTTGATCCCAGGTGGGGGAAACTGACATGACTTATGGCACGAACAACAACAAAGACCATCTAGAGGCTGGCAGTTCAGTCTAGATCTGTCTGCTGAATCCCAACAGTTGCTTGACATTGGATAGGCATCTCAAACTTAGCCTGTCCAAAATGAAACAAGTGACCCAGTTACTTCTCCTTCCCCAAGTTCTGTTCCTCGAGAGTTTTCATTTTTCTAATTATCCACAACCTGATAAGTTCTCATCACCTCTAACCTCCTAACTCGTCTCTCAGCTTCCATGCTGATCCCCTACAACAGTTATAATCTGATCTTGTCACTCCTCTGCCCCCAAATACTCCAGTGGTTTCTCATTTTCCCCAGAGTCAAAGCCAAAGTGCATACGATGCCTACAAGGTCCTTTGCACCCTGGGCCCTCCTTACCCTGGGCCTCTGCCCTTACTTCCCCCTCTCTGAGCGTGGAGTTCTCTTCTTCCACGTCTCCACGGCTCACTCCTTCAAATGTAAGCTGAGGGAGGCTTCGTTGGTCACCCTATTTAAAATTGCAAATCCACCCAGTCCCAACTTTCTTTATTTATCTGCTTTACAGTATTTCACCAACAGCTCTTATCATCTTCTAACTTAGCATATAATAACACACCTTAATTTTATATTACTATCTGTCTCCCCCAAACATAATCTCTTAAAGATGGAATACATAGATATATACATATACAGACAGATTTTGCCCTTGCTCCTTCACTCTATCATATAGAATAGTGGCTGGCACATAGTGGCTTTGCAATAAACATTTGCTTAAAATTTGTGTAAGATAATAATTCTAACATGTAGAGATGAAGAACAAACAAAATCAAAATATTAGACAATACTAGTATGCAAGGTGCATGGGGAGAAATCTGAGTGAATGTGTTATGAGTTTCTTATGTTGATCTGGAATAAGAATAAAATAATAACTTAGAATTTATTAGGTATGCATGGTAAAAAGTAGAGAGAAAAAACAAAGGAAAACATTCAATCACCTAGAAGCAAAAGTTAAAATGCAGAAAGAAGAATAGAAAGAGCAGGACAAAATAGAAAAAAAAGTAAGAATAAAATTTCAAACATATTAGTAATCACAATGAATTTAAACAGATTAACCCTGCTCTTTTAGAAGTCAGAGGTTTTCTGATTAGATATGTTTAAAACCAACAAAATATACCAAAATGTTCTTTATAATAAACAAATCTAAAATCTAAGGACTTAGAAAGGGTTAAATCAATGGAAAATTGAAAGATATACTAGGCAAATATTATCCAAAAAAAAAGTTCTAGTCATCTAAAACAAAAATCACTATTGGGAAACGTGAAGGTCGTTACATGATAGTAAAAATGTTCAATTCGCCTGGAATACATGATAAGTCTAAACTTGTGTGCACTAAATGAAACAGTCTATCTGAAAAGTAGAACACAGGAGAAATAAAGGGGAAATATATCACTGCCACAGGGTATCTTAATCTATGACCTATATTTACGTATTTTCTTTTAAATGATACAGCTGCTAGCTTTTGGTAATTATTTTCATTTTCTTTTCTTTTCCTATGCTGCAATTTCCAGGTCTCTGGATTCAAACAACTCTTACAAAGCCTGTGTGGAAACCTATGCCAGGGACTTCCCTGGTGGTCCAGTGGCTAAGACTCGGAGCTCCCAGTTCAGGGGGACTGGGATCAATCCCTGGCCAGGGAACTAGATCCCACATGCCACAACTAAAGACCCTACATGTCCCAACGAAGACTGAAGATCCCGAGTGCTACAGTTTAAGACCCAGAGGGGCCAAATGAACAAATATTAAAAAAAAAAAAAAAACACCTACTCCAGAATATGTGTAAAGCAGGTACACACACAGGTGTTGCCCAGCCACCCCTCATGTGTCCCGTGCTCAGAAGGGCAGAGCAGCCTTGTGCAAAGATGAGCCTCTCTGTAAGCGCCACGCTCCCAGCGTGGCTGCAGCCTCACCTGGATGTGGAGCTGCCTGTCCTGCAGCGCCCTCTGCAGCTCCAGGAGGCTCCCCTTGAGGGTCCTCAGCTTCACTGCCAGCTGCTCAGCCTCGTCCTTGGTGTGCGCCTTGCCCTCCAGCCGCAGGTTTTCATTGTGGACCGAGAGCTCTGATAAGGCCACCACCTTCTGCTCAATTTCCACCAGCATATTCTAGAACAACAGAAATAAGGTTGAAATTGACATGGCCTGGGCGCCTCTGCAAGGAGCGCATCTCACAGCGCTTCATTAAGTCTTTCATCAAAACAACACGCCTCCAGGTTTGTTTTTCTTCCCCCTAGCTTTCGTACAAACTTCAAGTGGCATATAGGTTTCAACAACTCTTTGAGCCTCCTAATTTCTCTCTCATATAAGATTAGATGGTATACCAAAACACTATAGGGGGAGCACATTCTATATAGTCAACAGATAAGGAGAAGAGACCAGGCCTTAGCGTTACCCCATTGTGACTGTTCTATTATTTAGTGTTAGAGGTGGCTCCGTGGTAAAAGAATCCGCCTGCCAGTGCAGGAGACGCAGGAGATCCAGGTTCAGTCCTGGGGTTGGGAAGTCCCCCCTGGAAGAGGACAGGACAATCCACTCCAGCATTCTTGCCTGGAGAATCCCAGGGAGCAAAGGGCCTGAGGGCTCCAGTCCAGGGGGTCGCAGAGTTGGACACGACTGAGTGTCTGAGCATGTACGCAATGGATGTACACACATTATGCTTATGGCTAATAATAGTAAAGACATCACATGATCAACTCTTTGTGTCAATTTAAAAAGGACTCTTTTTTTTTTTTTTCTCAAAGAAAGATGTTTTGAAAGGGAGTTTTCCCAGACTAGTGCTCTTTTCGCTTGCTTTGTATTATTTCTGTCCTTTTTTTTTGGCCATGCCACCAGGCATGTGGGATCCTAGATCCTCAACCAAGGACTGAACGGTAGAACCATTGGAAGGGTGGAATCTCAATCACTGGACCACCAGGGAAGTCCCCCTGTTTTTATCCTTTATATAACGCATTTTTAACTTCACATTTCTGGAAGTTTTCCTAAGAATTTCACTTTCACTTTCTGTGGTAGCTCTCTAGTGTTACAAGGTTTTTTTTTCTAAAATGGAGGCTAAATCCAGGAAAGAAGTGAAAACAGTCTCCTCACTTCCCAAGTAAGATTTAAAACAAAAACCAAAAACAGAACAACTAAAAAAATCAAGCAAAACAAATAACAACCATATTATTTTCTACAGAAACTGTTCTGTTTTTCTATACCTTAAGTCTGAACTCTTTGAAATGTACTTTCTAATTTATATTCAATTATATATTAATAAGAAAAGATTGTACAAAAGCAGAATCACTACCATCAGCTTGTAAGAACATAAGGGAGATCCCAAACCCTAGAACTAAACGAAAGAGTAAAACTTTTCCTGAAATGGGCCTTAAAGGATCATTTCCTAAGGATTACTTTTGAGAAACTAATATTATTCTGTGCAGGACCAACTTTTCCATCAGGCATGGTTGTCACAGAGCTGAGGGCCCCTAATACTTCAAGGGGCCGAAGAAAATGTCTTTCACTTCTTTTAAAATCAGAGGAAAAATGATTATGATAATAATTAATACGTAATGATATCACCCCAGGCTTCCCAGGTGGTACAAGTGGTAAAGAACCCTCCTACCAATCCAGGAGACATAAGGGATGTGGGTTTGATCCCTGGGTAGGGAAGATCCCCTGGAGGAGGGCATGGCAACTCTCTCCAGTAATCTTGCCTGGAGAGTCCCATGGACAGAAGAGCCTGGTGGGCTATAGTTCATAGGCTCGCAGAGTGGGATACAACTGAAGCAACTTAGCATGCACCCATGATAAACTACCCTAGATTATATTAGTCTCTGTACCCAAAGCAGTTACAAAATACAAATATAACTTTTAGTATTGCTATAGAGGAAGAGAGGTTCATGGAAACAAAGTACCCTGGGCCCCAAAAGTCATAACAGGACCCTAATTCCATATAATAGCCACAGCTATGATTATACTACTGGCTCAAATGCCAGATTTATTTGCATGAGGAACTATCACATATTTGTGTGATTCCATAGGCTCTGAGTTTTGAAAGATATTGCCAAAGTACCACTTCAATACTCTGTAAGAGTCCTGAAATATATTATCTCAACTATGCATCTTACGTATAACTATAAAAATAGAGACATTAAAAAGGAAAAGGTGGGAGTAATGATGAAACCGAATTTTGAAATGCGAGTGCATGTGGTAATTTCAAGTGCTAGAAGGCAATGCTAAAAATACATGTCTCTTTTCAGAAAAGTAACTTTAGAAAAGATGACACAAGAAATAGAAAACACTTGCACATGGCTCTCTATTCTCTACCATCAAGGTAGAGATGCTTTGAAGACACGTAAATAAATTGTCCCCAGACTTCCCTGGTGGTCCAGTGGCTAAGACTCTGCGCTCCCAATGCAGGGAGCCCAGGTTTGATCCTTGGTCCGGGAGCTAGATCCCACATGCTGCAACTAAGACACAGCATGGCCAAATAAATAAATAATAATAGTTTTAAAGTTTAAAATTATAAGTTGTGTAAAGAATTTAAAAACCTAAATTATTACTATTAAAAAATCTCAATCATAAGGGATGACCAGAATGACATACTATGCATTAAGAAAAAAGATGGCATTCATAATTAATGGTTGTGCATATTTCCTCCAGTCCCACATGTACGAAGTCATGCACACTGATATTTAACCTTGCAGATTAGACTGGGTTTTCTAGAGACTTGCTGGTTAAATGAAAGAGCTTTTAAAACAAACTTCACCTATGTGTAAGGTCTACTATGTTGATACTCTTTGAAGCCGATGACTGGCACATGGGAGTTCATCATCTATTCTCTATGCTTATACATGTACTTGAATGTTTCCATAATAAGGAGGTAAGAAAATAATATTACAGTGAAAACCTTGATGTCATTACCCCTTAAATTAATTTCTAAAGACCTCACGTTGAGGAAGGAAATTTTCTGCTCCAGAAGACAACCTTCCCATGTTGAGTCTGGCTGCCTATAACTACAGTTTTTCCAAGTTTTCCAAATAATATTTCTGAATTAGAACCAAAATTGCAACAGGCCACCTATTCTGTTTTTTATCCATAGTCACTGATACTAATTCCGTGCATTGGGTACTTAAATTCCTTATTAGCCACCAAAACAGATCCTATAAATTGGACATGAGTTCAAGCAAGCTCTGAGAGATGGTGAAGGACAGGGAAGCCTGGCATACTGCAGTCCATGGGGTCGCAGAGTCAGATGTGACTGAGGGACTGAACAAGTCTTAAAAAAATGTCCTTCAGGAAGCTGAAAATTTTCTAAAGAGTAGATACTCTTGGTTAAAATTTTCAAGAGACTAAGCCCACATCTGGACTTCATTTAACCTTTTATGAGATACTGTTTTTCTTCTAAATATGTAAAGTATATGGATTGTGAAAAATCACATATCCATACCACACTTTGTTATCATTATACTTCTCTGTAGTTAAAAAACATGTCTTGTGGGACCTTCCCTGGTAATCCAACGGTTAAGAATCGGCCTTGCAATGCAGGGGACGTGGGTTTGATCCTTGGTTGAGAGTGTGTGCATGCATACTCAGTTGTGTCTGATTCTTTGCAACCTCATGGATTGTAGCCCGCCAGGCTCCTCTGTCCATGGGATTCTCCTGGCAAGAATACTGGAGTGGGTTGCCATTTCCTCCTCCAGAGGATCTTCCCATATCATCTGTGGCTCCTGCATTGGCAGGCAGACTCTTTACCACTGAGCTACTTGGGAAGGCCCCTGAGATCCCTGGTCAGGGAACTAAAATCTCACATGCTAAGGAGCAAGTAAGGCCGTGTGCTGTGATTACTGAGGCCACATGCTCTGGAGCCCATGTACCACAACTAGAGAATCTGCACTCCCCAACAAAAGATTCTGCATGCCACAACTAAGACTCGATGCAGCCAATAATAGATACATTTTTAAAAAGTCTGCCTAATGATGTTGGCATATTCCTTTGAGACCATTTTTGTACCTGGCAGTCCACTAACTGGGCCTCCATGTCCATGGGCTCCTTGGGTGACCCCAGGGCAACGTCCAGAGTGGCCTTTGTGCTCAAGAGCCAGTGGTCCAGCTGATCAGCTTCACAGCGATACCTGTGCAGGGCTTGCTCCTGTCTCTGTTCCTCCAGCTGATCGTTGAGTTTCTCCTGATGAATTAAGTAGGATGGAACACAGATCACTCTGAGGCAAAATCACCAGGACTCAACACACAGAGCAATGGTTCCCAGCCCTGACTACACACCAGAACCACCAGTGAAACTTCAAAAACAATCCCCGGTGTTTAGACCACAGTACAGACTGGTAAATAAAATTTCAGGAGGTGAACCTCAAGATTATTATTTTTTAAAAACTCCTACAATGATTGTATGCCTAGAGTTATCTGTTCTTAAATAATACACCTACAGAACAAGGCAAATAATGTGGATGACAGAAATTGGTCAATGGTGTAAGACAGTAGGTAACTGGACCTCAAAGTTTGGGAAACTGTAGGGTCTAGTGGGGACTATGGCAACTGAAGAACATATTTGGTTCACCTAAAAGGACAGAACCACGCAGTTTCAGGCAACTGATCTCCTTCAGGAAGAGTGGCCCAGTGCTATCGCTTTCTAGAGCAAAGGCAAAACTTCAAAAAATTTGGTTAGGTCTCTGAGGATTCATTAGTGATGGCAAATAATCCATATATTTTTTAAAACTCCAGGCCAATCACTTCATTTCACAACTCTACATGGGTTTCATAGAGTGACTGGGGATAATATCAATGAATTAAAAGGTTAATTATTAAGATACTCTTAAGTATTTTACTTTAAACATTACTTTATTAATAATCTATTATTTTTAATTAATTTATTAAATTGTTTATAGATTAGAGTTGATTTAAAATTTCTCCGAAACAGGAAAGTATATGGATACATGATTAGACCAGCTTTAAAATAGGTAAAACTGGAAATATCCTATGTCCATAACAAAAGGACAAAGGTTAATTGAATTATGGGATAATCCGCAGCTAAATAAAATAATGTTAAGCAGATAATAATAACTGATTTTGTGCTAGAGAAGCTACTAGACCCTAGAGATACAAGGACACAGACACTTCATAGGATCAACAATACGAACATCATACATGTTTAAGGCCAGGAAAGGTAAGAGAACAACAACAACAAAAGGAAAATAACTTATTTTTAACACGTGTGGTAGTATAACTAAAATTTATCTATTGAGTATTAAAGTTAAGTAACATGAGAACCAGAACTGCAGGAATATGCTCATGAATTAACGTGCTTAAATTGGCTTCCAGTGACTAAGGATTTATTTTTCACAGCATTAGCAATGCTATTCATAAAAATGGTCTTATTTAAACACAGCAAACTATTATGCAAACCTTCCACAATTATTCCCCACAAAGCTCATGTCTACCCAGTATTGGCTCTCCGCTGCCTCAGTTCTGCAGGCCTGAAATGAGTCAGAAACTGGTGAAAAGACACATTCATGGCTCCACACTGGCTCAGGGCTCTATTCACGAGGCCCTGCACACACAATATACCAGCTTCTTTTGAGTGGGAACAATAAACATGTCGATCACGTAAGTAGCTGGACATACTTGTCAACCCAACCCCAGGAAGTTAATCTGGATGTGAGGGACAGCGCAAGGGTGGCCTGTTACCTCCAGAAGCTGCCTCTTCCCAGATGCCTTCATCTTGATGGTGGACATTCGCTCCGCTAAGACGGTGAGCGTGGACTGCAGGGCCAGCTGCTCTGCCGGCTCGGACTCCGGGGACCCGGACACCAGCTCGTCTGCGAGGGCCGACTGCAGCTCGCTGATCTCTTCTTGGAGCATGAGAATCTCGTCCATCAGAGCCTGAGGGGAAGACTGTGGAATCACACTCCTGTGTGCAGATTTTTTGCACTGCGGAATTGTGGCACTTAGCCAAGCTCACTTGGAAGTCATTTAACCAACAAACAGGGGGCCTTCTAACCTAAGTTTCTAAATGCCATTGCCAGACTGAAAATCAGGAAGTTTCTGACTTAAAGATCATTTGCATCAGTAACTTAAAGTTAAGCAGTCTGGTTTTCAACAGGCTGTAATCTGATGGGGGGAGGGGGGGGGTATGTGCAATTAATTCTGTCTGAGTCCACAATTCTCTGTTGAAAATAAAACTCATCACTTTCTTCCTCAACGTGACTCCTCCCACTCCAGATTTCCCCGAGTCTGGAACAAGGCTGAATTTTAATCGCAAACTCATATCATACAGACGGGAAGAACCTGTCACCTGCTTCCATGCCGTTGCCCTGCCCTATTTTTCTCCTCTCCCCAGGTCTAAAATTTGAAGTTTCTCAGGGCTACTTTCTAGACCCTGTTTTCTCTCTTCACAATCTCTCCAGGCCATGTCTATTGCCAAGGCTTTAATTCCTTTTTCCCGTGGGACACTTCGGTAGGAGAACAAAATCTCCCACCCCAAAAGGTCTCTGGCATGCAGATTATTTTGAGTTGAGAACAATCAAGGCCCAAGAGATTCAGGAAAAAACTCTGACCTAACTACCTAAAGAATCTATCTCAGAGACATTTGCAAAGAATAGGAGTGGGTGCGGTGAGTCGACTTTGTATCCCTCTGTCTCTGAATGGCCCAGCTAACACTTGCTTCCCAAGCATTTCTTTATGTCTCCTTGGGCAATTCTTTTCTGTGTTAGACAAGAGTCTACTCTCAAGACTCTGGAAGGGGTCCCCTTCCTGCGACTGCTTTTACCTCCAAAACATCTTGTTTGTCTCCTCTGCACCCACCTAAGTCACAACCAATTCCTTATCTGAATTGCTCTCAGAGTCTACTGGGTGGAGTATCTGCTTAAACCCCTTTAAAAAGATAAATCAGATCCTCTCACTCCCTTGCTTTACAATACTTAGTGGCTTCTTTCCTTTGAAATAAAATCTAAACTCCTTACAGTATTCATGCATTCTCACACCTGGCTGCCCCTGGTACCAGGCTTCCTTCTAGCTCACTGCATCCCTGCCTTCAATTACTCCAGGATCCCAGTGCTTTCTGCCTCAGGGCCTCTGCACATCCTATTCCCTCAAGGTCTGGAATGCTCTTCTCCTCACTCTCCTGAGATGAGTCTCTTCCTCCTTGGAGCCTTAGGTTAACCGTATCATCTTCAGAGAGACCTTTCACGACTACTCATTCAAAAAACAAAACAAAACTCTATTGCTCTCTTTGAATAGCATCCTATTTCCCGTTTAACAGCCATCACAATTATACACTGCATTTCTCATTTTTTTTATTTTATGATTTGCTCTTTAGCTGGAATTTTTTTTTTTTTTTTTCTGTTTTTGTGGCTGTGCCATGCAGCTTCCCTGACCAGGGATGGAACCTGTGCTCTCTGCAGTGAAAGCACAGAGTCCTAACCACTGGGCTGCCAGGGAAGTCCTTAGCTAGAATCTTGACAGGAGAAATTCTTATTTGGGATTTCAATGATGCATTAGGAAAAACAAAAAACAAGCCCTCCCACAGGAGGGACAATCATGACCCAAGTAAAGAATCACTGATTTTATAGTTGCCAACATTTCAGAGTTTGCAGTATACCCCTACTTGCATGATTCCCATCTCTTCCGCAGGGTTTGCTATAAGCCAAGTGCCTCCTCAGAGTGGGCTGTCAAGGGATATTAAAACCAAAAAACAGACCCTCTTTTTTCCCTAATATCAGGATGTCATCATGTCCAATTGCTGTTTAAGTAAACTATGATACTGAAATATTTATATACATATAGAAAAGTGCAGACAGTAAGAGTACAGTTCTGTGAATTCTCACAAACTGTATCTACTCATGCTCCTGCACCCAGACTGAGAAAGTGAACATTCCCAGGATTCCACAATCCCCTTGGACTTCATCCTGTTACAGCCTTCCTCCTTTCCAGAGATTACCATGGGGTGGGCTTGCAAAGTCATAGATGCTTCTGGTTTTGAGCTCTCCAGAAATAGAGTGACTCCTGATGTCCTGTCCTGTGTCTGGCCTCTTTCACTCCCTCCACGACTGTGACTATGCAGGCAGAAAGAGCTGACCCTTTTCAGGGCTGCATTGTATTCCACTGTCACCTGGTTTGTGAGTCTTGTCTATTTAAACCTTTCTAATGGTATCTCACTGCAGCTTTAATTTCCATTTCCCTGATGACTTCCCTGGTGGCTCAGATGGTAAAGAATCTGTCTGCAGTGTGGAAGGCCCGGGTTTGATCCTTGGGTTGGGAAGATCCCCTGAAGAAGGGAATGGCAGCCCACTCCAGTATTCTTGTCTGGAGAATTCCGTGGACAGAGGAGCCTGGCAAGCTACTGTCCATGGGTTGCAAAGAGTTGGGCATGTAGTGTGAGGGGTTTCTGGCTTCTAGTTCTGTTCCACTAACTCATGTGGTGTTTTTGCTAATATAACACTCTCATAAATATTACAGCTTTATGGCTCACTCTCATCTTTTGATTTTATTCATCTTCTTCAAGGCTGTCTTGGCTATTCAGTTAAGAATAGCCAATATGAAGATGGCGGAGGAACAGGACGGGGAGACCACTTTCTCCCCTATAAATTCATCGAAAGAACAATTGAACGCTGAGCAAACTTCACAAAACAACTTCTGATCGCTAGCTGAGGACATCAGGAGCCCAGAAAAGCAGCCCATTGTCTTTGAAAGGAGGTAGGACAAAATATAAAAGATAAAAAGAGAGACAAAAGAGCTAGGGATGGAGATCCGTCCCGGGAAGGGAGTCTTAATAGAGGAAGTTTCCAAACACCAGGAAACCCTCGCACTGGCGGGTCTGGGGGAAGTTTTCGAATCTCGGAGGGCAACCTAACTGGGAGGAAAAATAAATAAAACCCACAGATTAGTGCCTAAAAGCAATTCCCAGCAGAAAAGTACCCCAGATGCCCGCATCCGCCACCAGCAAGTGGGGCAGAATGGAGAGGAGCGGGCGGCATTGCTTAGGGTAAGGACCGGGCCCGAATGCCCTGAGGGCAATTGGAGGGAGCTTTTGTGAGATTCCAACTTAAACTGTGGGATAGCGAGAGAGAGAGAGAAAATTAACCGGCCCAAACACACTGCCGGCTGTTCTCAGAACAAAGGAAGTGAGCAATTCCAGAGAAGAGCTAGCCGGTGGTGGACCGGTCCATCCCCCACCGGAGGCAGGAGGCAGGGGGGAGGGGAAAGGGGCAAATTCAGCCCCAGAGACAGCATCCCCTACCACACTGCAAACAGGCCTCCAGTTTCTAACCAAAGACTTCCTGAGATTCTGGATGGTCGATATCCTCCAGGAGGGTCGCGGCTAGAGGCCAGCTCCCGAGAATAGTCACAAGCCGCACGCACCCGACTGGCGCTCGCGTGGAAACTGAGGCTGGGGCCGCGGAGGGGAGAAGGCACACCGCACCCGGGGAGAGTGCGCCCGTCAAGCTCCTGGCTGCCTGAGCTGCTCGGGCCGGGGAAGGCACAAAATACAGGTGCAACCAAGTCCGCGCTTTTGTGTAGTACCCGAAAACTGGAACCGCACGCAACGCAGGGCCCGCTCCATATAGAGCAGCTGGGAGCCTGAGCAGTGTAGACGGGGAGAGCAGTTCCCTCCCTCCCCGCAGCATGATGGAACTAGAGAACCTGAACAAGAGACCACCTCCGCCCGCCTGTGTCAGGGCAGAAATTAGGCACTGAAGAGACCGGCAAACAGAAGCCAAATAAACAAAGGGAACCGCTTCAGAAGGGACCGGTGCAACAGATTAAAATCACTGTAGATAACACCGACTACACCAGAAGGGGCCTATAGATATCGAGAAGTGTAAACTGGAACGAGGAGCTGTCTGAAACTGAACCGAACCCTCACTGACCGCAACAGCTCCAGAGAAATTCCTAGATATATTTTCACCTTTTTTCTTTTTAAATTAAAAATTTTTTTTCTTTTCTTTATTTTTTCTCTTTTATTTTCTTTTAAAATTCCCTATTACTCCCCCATTACTCAGTAACTTTCATTTTCATATATTTTTATGATTTTTTTAATTAGGAAAAAAATTTTTTTTCTTGTTTTTTTCTCTTATTTTCTTTTAAAGTCCTCTATTACTCCTCTATTACTCCTTAATTTTCATTTTCATTTCACTATAACCTTGCAAAAAAAAAGAAAAAAAGAAGAGGCCCTATTTTTAAACTGAACTTCATATATATTTTTAAAATTTTTTGTGCTTTTGTTTTTGTTTTTAATATTGAATTTTTAAGAGCCTAACCTCTACTCTAGATTTTTAATCTTTGTTTTTCAGTATTTGATATCAATTTTGGACATTTAAGAATCCAATATTCAGTACCCATTTTTACTCAGGAGTGTGTTGATTACTCTCTCCCCCTTTTGACTCGCCTTTTTCTCCCCCAGATCACCTCTATTTCCTCCCTCCCCCTTCTCTTCTCAATCCAATTCTGTGAATC